ATTGCCTCTGTCCATCCTTCAAAGTCCTGACGGAACTCCCAAAAGAGTTCTTCATCTGCTGTTGGTCGATCTGTATAGTCCGCAATCGCACGCGCAATGTACGTTGTTGCTGTAGTAATCCCTACCTCATCGTCTGGAGCTTCAACGTTGTCCTCCCAAATCTCTGGATCGATGTGATGCCATTCTCTTGGTTTTATGTTTGTGGTCCCTAGTAGCGCCTCTAGTGTGGGTACCACTCTTCTACTACTGCTCGCCATTCCTACTGCCGGTGTCCTGGCTACCGGTGCTCTTTCCGATGATGTTCTCTCTCCTGCTATTGTGTTCTTGTTGACGCTTGTTGCGCTAGCTGCGTTCGCTAGAGATGCGTCGGTGGTCGTGGGTTGTACACGGGTCAAATCTCAACCGGTCGGTTGGCGCGTGTATAGACGGCGTCTTGGAACGCTTCTGATACGGCTGTAACGGTCGGTCGCTAGCCACGAACGACGCCTGATATAGCTAACAGTGAGCTTAGCATAGATAACTCCGCCTTGCTGATATAGGCAATCTAGGGAACGCGCGGGGTAAAGAATCTATCTCTTCTTAACCTAACTGTCTGTGACTGCCGTGCAATCACTGATCAGTGTTGGAAGGCCTTGTACGATCGTACGGTGAATAACAGTAACTAAGGTAATCTTGTGTATTGGTATTCCGGTGTATGATGATTCTACGAATGTGGGGGCTACGAAGGTATACATAGCGTTGGGTCCGAGTTGGGCCGAAGTAGGATCGAGGCGGTACATTGGGCCTTATTAGGCGACACACCGTGTGTATGCCGACACTGGCACTATTAGTAGTAGTATGACTACCTAATAGAGCGCTCTCTAAGGCACAACGGTAGTGGTGGTACAGATTCGTATTGTATTGACTAAGGAGCTATTCACACGTTCGTAGATCCGTGTTGCGTGCTGTCAGATAACAGGGTTCTGATGGGAATCATAATAATTGTGGTTGAACGTGTCTATTGTGGTGTGTGGTGCAGTCTCGTGGGGGATGAGACGGAAGGTCGCCCTGTCCTAGTCCCTCTTGGGACTAGGGGGTCTACGTAACGTGATGATCTCCAACTCCGTTGCCTTCCACCCAAAATCTACCTCATATCTGACACGTGCAGCTGCGTCCAAGCTCCCCGCTAGGACCCACCTGCACGTGTCACCAATCATGTGACTACTCCTCCGCTTGATACCACCAAGTCACTTACGGACTGTATTCTCAACAAAACTGATGATTATTGATAATTGTGTGTCCTCTCCGTCACGAAGTTGAGGGCTACGGGGGTATATATGTCGTTTGATCCGAGTTAGGCCAACGTAGGATTTAGGCTTTTACAAAGGGGGTCTCATCCCTTACCTAGGGGCATTGAGCCCCTCGGAAGGGTTTTTACCCCTTGCCTAGAGCCGAAGTAGGATACCCCTTCCATCTGACCCCTTCCATCTGACACTGTGATCCGACAATATCACAGAAATGTAAATGTTACAAAATCTTTACAAGCTTTAATGGACTACATCTCTAACTAATATCGTAATAATACCCAATACTTGTTGTTGCGCAACCTCTATTTTCAAAATGCCAATATCTGGTTGGGCGATGGTGTGACCCAACTTCAACACCAAGTAACTTCACAACTATGGTTCGGATTGAGGATGTGATAGACACCATCAAACTACGCAAATCAGGTGCTTCTTTTCCGTACCGCGCTGTCGCAAAATATATTCGAAGTTGACTGAACAACGTCGTCGCGAAGACACCAACATCTAAAGCTGCCGAGTGCAACATGGGCACAACAACAGCAAGCACTCAACCCACAACAGGAGCACAAGCTCATGCTATACATAGAAAGACATACTATACGTGGCTTGCCATCTTCAAGAAGAATAATACAAAATCTTGCAGGGCCGATAGCGAGACGGAAGGTCTCAGAAAGTTAGCTTACTCGGTGTCTATATCGCCATGCCGGCAAGCTCACCATCAAACGGATTAAACGAAACGCCAGCATCGATCACGACAAGCCCAAGGTGGAATAAAGAGAAAGACACAAATCATATCTTCACATGCTCCACTGAAGAATGCAAGAGTACGGCGCGTCGGGGATCGACATACACGGAATGCGATTGAGAAAGGCTTTGCTATTTGCGTCTTCCAACACATAAAAAAAGTTTTCACAAAGATATTTAAGGCTCCAGGACAGCTTCAAGAGGCTATAAACGATGGCAACTGGGAGTGGATTAAACTTATTGCTTGCGTAGGCACTTCCGGTAAGGCATTGTCACCGGCGCTAATTTACAAAAGCAAAACTAAGTTCGATCGAGCTGAGTTGACGACGTAGAACCCGAAAAACGCCAAATATTTTTTGCTAAATCCCCTTCGGAATTGTCAAATAATGACCTTGGATTGGCCTGGCTCGAACAGGTGTTTGATCGCCTCACGGAGGAGCAGGTAAGACGCCCATGGCGGCTCCTCATCCTTGATGGCCATGACAACCACCTTATGGCCGTTGTTATCAACTTGTGCGTTTCAAAGAAGCTCCTTTTGGCGGGGTTTTTTCGTCACATGCAACTCGTACCCGCCAGCCGCTCAATGTCGCCTTGTTCTCGCCGCTTATTTCTAACTATTCTCGCCAGGTTATGCGTTAGATTCGAAAGTCACAAGCCCTGGTAAGCCTTCAAGAGAGTGACTTCTAGTGGATCTTTTGGGCAGCGTAGAGCAGGCATACAATGGCTATTGATAGCATTAAGAAGAGTTTTCTGACCACAGGCGTGTGGCCTATGGGTGCTGAGATAATCCTCGAACGCGTCGACAACAACAACACATTCAGTTAGGATGAGACTTCAAAAACTTGGCAGCACGATAATAGAAATCGCTGAACCCCGATGCGAAAAGTTTATGATACTGCGGCTGCTGACGGGGCCAATGTTCAAGCCAAGCGGTTAGTGGGTTCATTACACTCTCTACACGCGAAAAACGAGCTGCTTCTTCACGAAAACGACGGCGGAACAGAATTAAAAAACGAAGACCGAAAGGCTGAATCTACAATAATACAAGGAGTACCATGGCAGTGCTGTTCTCTGGTGTCCCCGGAAGATCCGAGAAGCTCGTGCGCGCGAGGCAACGAAATAATAAGAAGCCAAGAAGCTACAGCTTGTAAAAAGAACCCGAGCAGGAGTAACTGAAGGCAGCCTCAATTATCTACAAAGAAAGCTGGTGGAGCAGGCAAAAGCTGAATGTTAACACGCAAAATAGGCTAGAAAAGCGAAGGCTAAACAGCTCGCCTTCGCCCAGGAACTTTGAAAAGCAACAACGCAACGCTGCAACCTCACAAAAAAATTGCGATACACAAAAGACAACAAAGCAAGCAGTCTAGCGAGTGTCGACATCCATAATCAAAAAGCATCGTCGGGTTGTTGATGTTAAAAGTGGCGCGGCACCCGTGCCACAGCCTCCACCGCAGCCACCCAGAATGACAAGGTGTTGGGACATGAGCGTACCGGTACAGCCAGCCCGGCGAGTTTTTCCGGGCCGGAAGCTTGGACCACTAACGTGCACGGACAGCTCATGCCCGGAGACACCTCGTGCCCCGCCGAACACCATATCCACCACTTCAAAAGTGAGGCTATTGAGCCACGTACAATAGCTATTGTCATAAGATTCTGTGAAGGGGTTGTAATTAGATGCTTGCGATCAACTTGTACTATCTATACTTTTGTGGGAGGTTGACGTTGCGGCCACGTGATGTGACTTTGGCTGGAGTAGCAGATAGCTCATCTCCAGCTTGAACACCAGCGTGAGCAGCGCCAGCGCGTTTTTGACGCTTGTTACTTGGTGAGAGTACTTGTGAGGCTTTACGCTTGCGTTGTTGAGCTTGTTGGATAGATTTTTTCTGGTGTTGAGCTTCAACTTTGCGCGCGCGTTCAGCTGCTTTCTCAGCTCGCTCAACCTCCCTCATCTCTTTGAGCCTCTGCCTCTCTACACGCTTCTCCTCGAGCTCAACTTGACGCTGCAGTTGAGCCTCCTTACGCTGCTTCTTGGCCTGTGCTTTTTGGAGTTTCTCCTCCGTCTCATCTCGCTCCCGTACTGCTTCTCTAGCTCGAGCATCACGCAACTTGCGAGGAGACCAGAAGACAGTGCCACCGTGATACTCCTGGCGCTGTTGAAGGTCAAGAGCTTTGCCCTTCTTCTCGTGCTTCTTTTTGTGTTGAAGAGCCTCCTTTAAGCCCTCATTCTCATGCTTTAAAAGCTCATTCTGAACAGAGAGATGGTGGACGCTTTGAACGCAGCTTTCTTGCCTCATACTGATGGCTATTAGTGACAGCAGCTCGAACTAATCGATCTATCTTTCTCCAATCATGATCAGAGGAGCCCTGATGATGAGCTTCTCTTAGCTTCTGGCGTGCCTGGCAAATCTACGAAGGATAACGTTGGCATCCATCGGCCCAGATCCCCAGTGGCTTCGAAGGCCTTCAATATGAGGCTCTCCGTGAAGGAGGATATCCAGGCGCTCCAGAAGAGTGGGAAGAAGTCTCCTTTCTTGATTGGAGCGAGACCTTGAGCCTTATGGAGATGGTTGGTGAGCTCGTTAGAGTAAGCTTGAGAGAGAGGCTTGAACAGCACTACGTCAAGCGGCTGGAGCGTATGAGTCGAACGGGGGTGAAGGATTATAAGGAGGGTCCTGTGGCGATCACAGTAGTCGATAAACTCCATCGTGACATGAGATCCATGGCCATCAAGGATGAGCAATCGCCATCTCCCTGATCGCTGCTTTGTATAGCGATCAAACATCTGCTCTAGCCAAGCTAGACCTATGTTATCGTTTGACCAGCCTGTTGGAGATGATAAGACAAAGACCTCATGTTCTCCTGCCTTGATATCCTCTACCCAACTTGATCGTATAGCTCCTTTTTTAGCTGCGTAGATAAGGCTTGGGGGCAGCGAGCTCCCATCGGCGCAGCAACAGGCCAGGAGTGTCAGAAACTCGCGTGATCCATCCTGGAGAGATGCTCGAACCTCCTTCTTCTCCCATTGACGCCTGCTGAATATTCTCTTGCTTCTGCCTATCAAGCCAATCAAGAAGCCCTTCTCATCCATATTGTATATATCTCGAGCCTCAAGGTGATATTCAGTGATCTTTCGATGCAGTAGCTCGAAGTAGAGACGGTATTTTGACTCAGAATCAGCCAGGTGGCGAACACGACCCATGGCGGTGGTCCACTTTGAGATTATATGGATCTGGTGTCTGGTGATGAAGCGAGAAACCCATCGATCGCTTAGCTGCCGATGGGCTATTTCAGATGAGAAATTCCTAATCATCTCTCTCGTAGGAGGAAGGACTCTCTCTGTAAGCTTTGTGATATATCGTATAAGCTCTAGCTCTTGTTGTTGGTCGAGAGCTTGTTGATTTAAGTATCCATCCTCCCGAGACGCTGTCACGCCTCTCTACCTTCGCCCCAGCGTTGAGCGGTTAACCTGGTATTTCTCAGCAACTTCCCTCAACGTAAAGTGTTCTCCTGGATCACGCGATTTCAAATCTTCAATTGCATCGTCGATAGGTGCCATGGCTGTAGCGTTATAGTCTGTTGAAGTTGTGGTGTTGAGACGCGGCTTGGTTTTCGGCGGGGCACGAGGTGTCTCCGGGCATGAGCTGTCCGTGCACGTTAACTGCGCGACACCTGGACCGAGCTCCAAGAACTGCCAAGATTAGCAGAACCAAAACAAACAAGCTGAGCCTGAGCCTTCACGCCTACCTATCATGAACAGCATCTAGCCCAAAATCTTTCAGCTAGTGTTAATCTGCTAGTTCAACATCTACTATCTCCCTGGAATACGCCGAGATAGCTGCCGTCAACGAGCCCTGCCGAGTATCTCCTACCATTGTCGCCATGGCTGACCAGTCGCCTGATTACAAAACGCTGTTCCTCGAAGAACAATGCAGACGCAAAGCCGCGGAGCAGGCGCAGAATGAGGCAGAGCAGGCGAAGAATGAGGCAGAGCAGGCGAAGAATGAGGCAGAGCAGGCGAAGAATGAGGCAGAGCAGGCGAAGAATGAGGCAGAGCAGGCGAAGAATGAGGCCGAAGAGAAAACTCGCAAGACGACTCTTCCAGAGTTTCTCGACGCCTGTCACGATAATCTATACTCCGGTCTCACCGTCCAGACCGATGCGACCTTGTCGACGCGGGGCGACCCTGCGAATGCGAATAACAAGCTTCGACCTGAGAAGCTCCTTCTATGGAAGGATTTCCCAGCACAACAAGCAGCGATTTGGGACAAACTTATGGGGTCTGACTTCGCGTTAGAGCGACACTTCACCTCGCTGCATACGTTGAAAGAGTCTGGTGAAGCTATCCGACGGAAGATGATGAGTTCTGAGCTAGATTTGCATCTCTTCCAACGTACCACTGTAGACGACCCTGTAACGTCTATTATCGAACGATTATACGACCAACAAATACTACGACAGGAGTTTGGACTCAAGGGTTCGATACAGTTTGAGAATCACGCCAACACCCTCAGCCCGGAAACGCAACTAGAGAGCATTAGTTCCATGACCATCTCCGGGACTCAGCGACGACGGTCACCACGCCTACAGGCCAAGGCCCAGGCCCAAGACAACTCCGTGGCCGCACCTCGCGCCCCAACAGCACGATCGTCCCGTCCTCGAGCCGATCAGTTCTGCGTCTACAACACCAGCACTCAGAATACAGAGACTCGCGTAGCGGCCTTTATCACGGAATACAAACCTCCGCACAAGCTGCCACTCGGGTATATAAACGAGGGTTTGGGGGATATGGAACTCGAGGAGGTGATTCTATGTCGCGAAACGGATACTCCTCGCGACCACTTTCGCCGGCTGATGGCTGCAGTCATCACACAAGCATTTTCTTATATGGTCAAGCTTGGGGTGAAGTATGGTTGCGTGTGCACTGGCGAAGCTTTCGTCTTCCTACGCATTCCTGACGATCCTAGAACGGCTCAGTACTTCCTCTCCGTTCCGAAAGGGGACGTCGGGGACACCACAGGATGGACATCGGACTTAGACGGAACAAATCGCCTGCATCTAACAGCTGTTGCTCAGATGCTAGCTTTCACGCTTCAGGCGCTGCAGACACCGCCCCGTAGCCACAAATGGCGTGCCGACGCCGCCTCTCAACTCAATGGCTGGGAGGTTACGTATGAAGACCTGCTAGATACTATCCATGTAGAAGATGCGCCATCATCGGAGTACCGTCCACCTCGCCACAATGAGTTCCTTCGCATGTCACCTATCCAGCTCCGGCGGAGGCATACCCCAATTAGCTCTTCAAGCTGCGCGCGACCGCAGGATCAGCACGCAGCTAGCGACGAAGAACCCGACTCCGATACTCCAAGCCGGCGGCAACCTTCACCCCCGCGCCAGCCTCGCACACACGCCGCTACCAGCAGCTCTTCGCCGAGTCAGAGTTCCCATAGAGGACAAAGTGGACAGTATTGCACTCAAAACTGCATACTAGGGTTAGTCCGAGGGGGTCCACTTGATATGTCGTGCCCAAATGTGCGAGATCATGGGGAAAGCCATCATCAGATCGATTCACCGACCTTCCTCACTCTTATACGCCAACAGCTCTCAAACGACTTAGATACTGACTGCAAGCCTGTGAGTCTGCCTGGCGCTTGCGGCGTCTTATTCCAAGTTCGGCTGAAATCGCACGGGTACATGGTAGCAGCCAAGTGCACTCCCATTGACTTCGTCCATCGTCTTCATCATGAAGCTACCGTTTATGACCTCCTCCGTCCGATCCAGGGTATACATGTACCAGTTCATCTAGGCAACATAGACCTGGAAACCCCCTATTTCTACGAGGGTATTTGTGAGCTTGTCCACATGATGTTTCTTAGTTTTGGAGGGAAGCGGATCGCCCAACACCTCACCGCCAAGAACCGGCTTTCCGTTACCCAACAAGTCGACTGCTCAGCCCAAGCTATTCACAACCTTAGTATCTTGCATAAAGACCTTATGCCTCGAAACCTGTTGTGGAATGAGGAGACGGGCCGAGTGATGGTGGTTGATTTCGAGCGGGCAGAGTTCATCAAGCCACGACCTATACTAGGTACCATCTCGGCGAACAGGAAGAGGAAGAGAGTGTGCAATACAGGGTTGTCTAAACGTGGAGAAGATAGTCTTTCTATTTTTTTGCGAGAAAGAAAACGGGTAACTATTGAACTGCGTGGACTACACGAACGCCACCAAGTTCTACCTAGCCAATAATTGGACCCCACCAACTTTCTGCACCTTCACAAGCGTACAACTCAACTACCTTTTAGAGCACTGTATAAATATTGCTGTTGTAGATTAAACAGTACCTACACTATCTTCTTGCAAGTACGTGAGTTGTGCCCAGTCTCTCTGCACCTTGTGCAGCGCGCTAGAGCCTGGCGGCTGAGGCCTGACCTTGACCTTGTTCACGCTCTATCTGATTACTGGTTAGCCTTCTGCTCATGGCCTCTGGAAGAAGCCGTATGCGGCCGCAGAAATAGCCTAGTAGAGAGACTGTGCAGCTCCATAGTTGTATACCATCTGTGGACCTATGCCTATTCGGACTTATTTTCCCTCTATTCTCCACCATAATTCTGCCGTGCGAGGGCCGCGCAGATATCTCGCAAGTTCTCATCCTCTTGATACTGCGGTCGAGGCGTCTTAAATATCTTCTCTCTCCTTTCTCCTTCCGGCCACGCAAGTCGTCTCTTCTCCACTTCATGCTTTTCGAGGGCTTCCTGACTGGTGAATGTACGGCCGTACACACAGGCAAACCTAGCTACTGAAGGCCCGATCTGCGTCAACACGGGCTCCAATTTCATAAAAGCGAAGGAAGAGACTAAGGAGCTGTCTTGTTGTTGGTTTTGAGTAAGAGACTTGTCGGCTTGTCGCCTGTGGTATAAAGAGTCGCGCTTGTGTAGTGAGAGCACTGAAGATGTGATAGTGCCTGGTACTGGCCCGAAAGCTGGGGGAATCGAAGTCGGAGGTGAATGTGGAGCTGTGAATGGCACTGAGACCGGCGTTGTGCCTTTGGGCGTAGACCCGGATCTAGGCTTTCCTGCCTGATGAGTCTTCGAGTACCGCAGATGATTTCTCTGCTTCTTCTCGTTGGTAAAGTTCTGTCCACAAGGGCACAGTATTTTTTGCGCTATTGCTTCACAAGATGGAATGGGACGCTTCCCTGCCGCTAATACCGAATCCGCGCCCGAATTTAATTCTGGGTCCTCAATCAAATCTAATGTAGTCGAACACGCATCCATCCGTTACTTATAACCTGCACAGCGGCATCCATGTCTTTGAAGTTCATCGTGATTTTTGAACGTGCTACCACACCAGCAGGCTACAGAGGCCACAGGCCTGGGCGTTGAAGCTGGAATTGAAGCTCTAGCTGGAATCGCGGCGGCCCTTCGATTGAAGCTTAGAGCCATAGAGATGACATTCTCTCCCTTCTGATGGGTTCCGCAGACCCGTTTATGCCCTAAATACGTCTCCACGTTCTCGAAACTTTTACCGCAAGGGCAGCGAACCTGGAATGTGCTGATTCTTCCTGCTGCGTCCGCCATTTCGATCTCCGCATAAGATAAGGTAATTTCAACGAATAGTAAGCGGAAGACTAAAGGTAGGTATAGCAAGTTAGGCAGTGTTGTAAACTTGATCTATATTAGCGTAAGATTTCTGTAGTCAAGTTAGGTCACTCGCCAAATATCATATTCTACACATCTGAAAATTCTCGCATCTAACAGTATGAAAGTTAGTATGTTATGTTTCTCGAGCTCAACCTACCCCGCATCTGTCAACGAAGGGGGAAGTGGTGGGTCTATTTTTGCGGGGTTGATGTCAGATGATAGACTGATCTGTTCATCTGATTCGCCAGCCGCGCACATATACCTGTTCAAGTGTACGCGTTGTGCGACGTACGAGCTGTATGTTCCCACTTGCGTACTTGCATATTTTCCCAAGTCTCAGCAAAGAGCACAGCGGGTCCAGGCTCAGATAGACTGTGTTGCTTCCTTGCGAGGAGTATGTACGTACATACGTTCAAGGATGAAATCGAGAGGGAAACTGGCTTGAGTACGTTGTTGATAAACGGGCTAAAAGCTGAGACTTAAAGTGACCGGGAACCTGATCCCGCCTCAGACGGCTGGACACAATGCAGCCCACGCTACGGTGCGCAGCACTAGATCGCCCATCTTAGATAGCACGGCCCGCACATAGTGCTGATCTAAAAGAAGCTGATTGAATGAGTTATTATTTACTGTTAGTGTCACGGTATCCTCTCGTACCCCCTGACACCTGCACGTGCCGCACTCGCTTATGCGCACGTGCCTCACTTTGTATATCTTCAGCTCGCTCTGCGTACAGCTATCCTCTTGTACCACACCTAAGTATCGTACCTAGCATATCCAATCGAGCTTCTGAAGCAAGTTTGATGTCCCTGCTCGTTGCCTCTCGTGACAGTTAGTTAAAGTGAGGCGGTCGTGTAACGCTTATACTAAGCTGCTGTATTGTATTTGTTAGATGTGGGAGGACCAAGCAGACATGAGGAAGAAGGTTGTTGTATTGAGAGAGCTACATGAAGCGATTATATACACAACTAAGATGAGTAAGCAGGTGACGAGGAGTCACGTGAGATACAGTTCACAGTGTACCAGGTGAACCGAGGTGCCAGGCTGACAGTATTGTAGTGTACGGCAACCAGAATCTATTTCTTAAAGATACTAGGAGAGAAAAGACTTTGTAGCCTAAGGCTGCAATTCCGAGAATATCTATTCTTTTGGCTTGATGTTGAGCTTATTGTGCTGGGGCGTGTCTGTGGCGTCTCGCTACACAGGGTGTCTCGTTACGCAGGGATAGACTTTACGTGCGACAGCGCCGCTGAGTACAAGGCGACGTTCTGGATCGAGGCGGCCCGCAAAGAGTCGCCGGAGCGCGATCCTTTCAGCTGTTTCGCGTTCGCCGTTGCTCCTTTTTTTCGTTTTAATATACTTTATATATTCTCGGGCCTTCCCCACGCAGTGTGTAACAAACACCTATTCAACCTACGAGAGTATAATGCCATGAACTGTATCGAAGTGATCCCGCAATTCCTTCTTACTAAAGTTCCTCTTTGGACACGAATGGTGGGGGCATTGGATGCTCTGCCCACTGCTATTATCCACTTGCTTGTTTATGTGGTCCCCGATGTGCTTGCATACATGGGCATAGTTGTCAACAATCAAGCCAATCCAAGCTGAGGCGTCAGATTGGATTGCTCGTTTTTTGAGAGCGTCAGCTTGGATTGTTAGGGCTAACAAGCTGAGATTGTGAGCTTGATTGAGGCTTGATTGATCGGCTTGATAACCTGTACTAGCGCTAGCCTTAGTGTTGAGTTTCGTCGTCCCAAGTCGCCAGCCCGCACAAAAGCTCCATATTGTCGTCGTCTGCTGCCTCCTCCTCTACTACTTCGTCGTCGCCTCCGAGGCCAGCTCTTTGCCACCGTCGTACGCACTGTATTGCCGCTAGAAGTTGAGGTCCTAGACGTCGTCGTCGCGGCTCTAACAGGTCGCCCAGCTCACTGAACAGGCGCTCACACTCACAGCTTGACGCTGGGATAGAGAGTACGCCAAGCGCAAGCTTACTAAGGCTAGGGTAGCAATCGCGCATGCTCACCCAGTACTTAATAGGGTTATCTGCGTGTTCTGTACCTCTCTTAGCTGCCGGCTCGCTGCGCTTCCACCTCTTAAACTCATCCTCGTCATCGGTAAGGCTGCTAGCAGTACTAGGATTAAGTATACTATCGATTGCGTCGTCTATATCGCTTGGGATCACTGCCGACGGCCTTACCGCGCGCGGTGAGGTGTTGTACTGCGCCCAGAGCGCCTGAAAGCTGGCGTTGCTAGCCTCGAGCCAGTCGGGCTTCCTAGCCCACGCCTTATCGCAGTAGTACTTGTACATCGGATGGAGTATTGTAGCAGCGTAGTACGCGGGCGAGTCGTCTAGCTTAGAGTAGTAGTCATCGGCCTTCTGCCAAGCTGCGCGCAAGTTAATTGCAATGTGATCCTCAGGCGACTCATCGTGCTCGTTGTAGTTAACCGCCTTATACGCGTTGACGCGCTGCTCGTAGTAGGTAAGGAGGTATTCGAATATTGGAATTATCTCAGCAATAGCCCCAAAGCTGCCGCTTTTGCCGCGCCCTTCGAGGCGCTTTGTAGCAGTCTTAAGCGGTTTTAAGATGTCCATGTACTCTGTAATTACTGCCCAATCAGCACCTGTAAGGCCGTCTGATCGCATCCACGGCTGCGCAACTGGCAGCTTATTGCCGCGACTTTGCGCAAACGTGTCCTCCCTTTGCACCCGCTGTATATGGTGAGTAGCGTAGGCGTTAACTGCAAACTGCAGCTTTACGGCACGCTCAAAGCATGAGTAGTACGAGTTCCACCGCGTGACGACGGGTTTAACGGGCTCGAGGATCTTGCGATCGTTGGCTGACGCGCTGGACGGCAGCTCAGTGTGGGCGAGGCGCTGGAAGTCCTCGAAGAGCTTATGCTGTTGTGGCGTTTTGATGTAGTTCATGATACTGAGCAGTACGCCGAGTGGGCCTACGTGTCTCCACTCCTCTATGAAGTCGTGCTCGTCGGTGAGCTCTTGTACGTCGTTGTCGAACAAGGCGGCGCTACCCTTGCCCCAGAGGAGCGTCTGGCCGATGAGGTTGAGCGTGTGAGGTCCGCAGCGGAGGCGCCGGTGGGTGGCATTAAAACCGTACTCTTGAGCTAATATTGCAACAGTACTGTCGTTGTTAGGGGCGTTATCAAGCACGAAGTAACCAATTGACTGCGACGTGATCTTAAAGTCCTGCAGCGTTTTTATAACAACCTCGGCCATCCTCTCGCCACTGTGAGCGCCTGTCAGCTGGGGCAGCGCTATAGGCAAGTCCTGCAGGTCGCCTCTGCTGTCGACAAAGTGCGCAACGACGCCTAGAAAGCCACGCTTGCCGCCCTTGGTCGTCCATCCATCAAAGCTAAGGTGTACTTTGCTGAGCGCCTGCGACAGTTGCAAGATAACGCGCGGCTTTAGGTGCTTGTACAAGCGCGCAACGTACTGGGAGACGCTTACATGAGACGTCCAGAGCGCTCGTTCTGCTAGTGGGTTGGCAGCTTCAAGGAGGCGTCGAAAAGCTGGTGTTTCAAACTCAGAGAGAGGGTGATTGTTCTCAACAAGCCAGCTAACAGCTGCTAGCCGGAAGCGCTAGGTATTGAAGCCAGCGATCTCGTTAGCGACCTTCTGCGACACGCTGTTGTTGCCGTCCTTAAGCAGACGTTGTAGCCAGGTGGGTTTTGCAGCGACGGCCGACTTGCTGTGGCCATGGCCGCGCTTAGGCAGCTCTAAGTGTCGCTGCGCTGACGACGTTGAGAGCGTCGTCTCATATATCCCGACGCCGGTATCTGTGTACTTATGCTCGTAGCAGTAACGGCACACGAAGTAGAGCTTACTCGGGTCCTTCAGCAGCGCAACGCGGTAGCCATAGCAATAAATCCAGCTCTTGCGCGACTTCTGCGACGAGAGCGGCTTTATATACATGCGTAAACGCCCCTAATCAATTCCCTCAAAGTCGTCCATAAGGCTCGCGTCCAGAGCCTCTTGCAAGGTCTCATTGTCTGGGGCTGCTGCCGACGAGGCTGCTGTTACCCTCTCGCTGCCCTCGGTAGGCGCGACGATAGCGTCTTCAGGCCGCGACTCGCGTAGTTGCGACTCAAAAGTTAAAGCCTGGGACGCCTCTACGAGAGCTCTGCGAGGCGATAGCTGACTATCAACGGCTATAGGCTGGCTAACAGTGCCGCGGGCGGTGGACGATTTAACGCGTTTTTTTGGGCGAGTAAGGTCATCAGAGGCGCGTTTCGTAGGAGGCATAGCGGTGGAAATATGAGAAGGGCGACGGAAGCAAAAAAAGTGACGTGATAGTAGGTTGCAGAAGTTAGGCTAATAACGTACTAGTACTGCGACGACTACAACACCAAAAACCTATCGTGAAATCGCTCCTGCGCTGCAAAACGAGCAGCCTCACGCGCCACCTCAATCAAGCCCATCAAGCTGAACAATCAAGCTGACCCTCCTCAGCTTGGATTGCTAAAAAATTATTATAAGCGAGCTTGACTTGATGGGATTGATAGTTATCAAGCTATCAATCAAGCGCTTGCAAGCCGCTTGATTGTTGACAAGTCTGTACATGGGCAAACCGATTAACCGGTTGAATTTACCGACCGAAAAAACCGACCGGTCGAACCGGTTAAACCGATTAGACCAGTTGGATTTTATAACGTATCTATCTACTAACCAAAATCAGCCTCAATACACTTAACCAGCTGTTGATCTAAGTCATTTGCAGCACTTTGATCGAAATAGGGATCCGGCGTGATAGGAAATCCTAATCCACTCGCTCGAACAGGGTAAATGTGCCCCCTTTTCAGCTAATTGCCTATACTGTTAAGAATATGTTAGGTTCAGTCCAGGTCGGCGGGGGTGAGGCTCGTGGAGTAAGCCCGAGCAGAAGGACCGACGCTGAATGATGATCTGTCATGTACGTCCTAAGATCATCATAACAATAAGTAGAGAGAACAATAGCTCTAAGTGTAGTTCAATCTAATACGTTGTTACCTTTCGTACCTCTACTCGGTCGCCTATGGTAGTCATACCACCAGAGGAGACCTTGTTCCAATAAAATGTAAAATTTCATGTAAGCAGATCACGTGAGGAACATCAAAATCCACGAACACCAAAACTCCGACCGCCGACATGCTCCGCAATACCCCGCAATGCCCCGCTATTGGCTGCGCAACACTCCACGTAGATACTCAGACTCGCTTTCACGATACTCGCTTTCATTAATTGCCTAATTGGGTAATACGTGGCATTTCACTCGCAAAAACATTATCGCGCAACCAGCTGCTGCGACACTATATAATGAGATCATGCCCCGCCTCCGCTCCAAATCTTTGACACTCAACTCCAATACTTTTTTTGGATAGTCAACCGCAACGTTTGCCTTCAAGACCTCCCTGAGCACAGGCTTACCTCCCTGTTCAAAGGCAAAAGTCCATGGATCGTATCCATGGCCACGACGACACTCGAGAACGAGACGCGAGACGACGACGACCGACGACGACAGCACAGCTATGGCGACATGGGTTACTTCGTACACTGATGCGAAGCTCCTTCATGGTCTACTCTACCTTCTTGTCCCAATTTATCAAGGGCCAACGCGCAGGTGACCATGTAGTCTTTGCCTGTCATACCTGCTTGCAGGGTGTGTATCTATGCGGTAGCGGGTCTGTCGAATTGGGAGACGTTGTCGCGTATGAGGTTTTGGTTTGTTGTTGTGTGGTGCCCTTTATATTGACGTGATGCTATTTCTCTTTTTGCTATCTGTCTTGCTGTTCCTCTTCTCGCTGTTTCTCTTCTTTTTTTTTAGCAAAAGACCTGATCAATCTGTTGCTGACACTGGGCCGATTACCCCGTTGCCTCTGGATACGACTACTGGATACCTGGATACCTGGATACGAATACGAATACGAATACGAACCGAATACCTCGAACGCCTCCGTGGCGAACGTCTACATCGGTAGACATCGACAAACTTATACTTTTACGGCACTGTCAGCATCAACTGATAGATCATGCCACTAAGCCCACCCCAACGTAGTATGCTCACTGCTTCGTAAGAAGATGCCGCGCTACGTTGGGTTGGCACTTACGCTTCACTGGATCAGCCATGCGGCTGTGAAACTGTTCCACTAAATCCATCCCGTCTGCGAAAGGTGGTTACTTCAAATAATCTGAGTGCCTTTGATGGGGTGGTTATTTGGGGGCCCTGTTGCTTCTTTCATACGGGAATGTATGGATTTTAGCAAGATACTATTCTAAAGCTTCGGCTGTCTGATAGTAACCGAGGACTAGACCTGGGGGTCGTTTCTGGAAACCACTGGATGTGGACCAGCAAAGACACTCAAACAGTGTTGACTTTGAATTGGAGTGAAACACGCTCTTTTATTGCTGCTCGCCTGTCTGCTACAGTAATAGCGCATTTCCCTTCCCTCGACTATGGCGACCGTTGCCGCCGGTTCTGCAGGTGGTGGAGAGCCACCGCGCCCAGCTGGAAAGCTGCCTCTACTGCTAAACCTACTTGATGCACTTCATGTCCAAGGTGCAACTAGTCGTTGCGACAACAGCGCCATCTTCAAAAATGCTGTACGTGCGATATTGGCGGCGTGGGTTGTTGAAGTTGAGGTTGAGTGTCGCGACGGACTTGCCACATGTTGAACCCTATCCTCAAGGATCAGTGATTTTATTAATTGCCTATGTACGAGTGTTGGTTGGCTTTGCACTAAGTGCTAGGAATGCATTCTGTGTGGTGATGGTTTCTGATTGATTGTCTTGCGAAAGAGAACTATGGAAGAGCTAGATATATGTTAGGAGGTCTGGCCTGAGCGCTGCTCGGACGCCGCGATCAGTGCGCCTGCTCGCGTGACCGAGATCAGTGCGGCCGATCGCGTGGCTCAGATATCGTTGATATCTGTGATCCGACAACGAGGGAAATAAATGCAAATAACACCCTAGGTGCAACCGACGGCTGCGACAGCGATACAGTTATCTAAGATGCCGTACGTGCGATATTAGTGGAGTTGATAGAGCTATCACACGGGAGCAGGGGAAAAAAGTGTAAAGAGTAGTCGTTATACATTAACATTGAACTTGCATCTGTCTATGACACCCGTCTGTCTACTGTAAACACCTGGGCAGTAGTGATTGTCCTTTGACATTACACTCGCTGTCCATAACACCCGTCTATCTATTAGTTGTAGACGGGGAATTTGGCCTCCTCCACCAGGGCATCATAGATATAAACCCAGCGGGCGACATCGTCCTCACACTCATCAAGCGGATGTTCCCACTGGGCGACCTCGTCAAAACCAGCTAAGCCGTCAATCCTGTGTGTGTCGTTCTGGATTTGGAAGATAATGAAAGCGCGTTGGGGGTCATCCCAGGTAGCCAGGTCTAGACGGATATCGAGGTGGGCCCACACACGACCACCACTCGCAGTAACGCCGACGTCGACGCCAAATTTATAGATGAGGTTTGTCTGCCTTGCTTCTGCTGCCCAGAGAAGGCGCAGTGGGCCTTCTTGAATGTAGTCAGGGCTCAAGACAATAGTTTGGATATATGGGAGCGCGCAGAGCTAGACGAGGGTCGGCTTCTGGATGTCGTCTTATGCAACTGGTTAGCACTTGCGGACAAGTTATTTTAGGATTGGTACGTACACTGAGGCTCAAATAGCTCACGTATTGGAAGGTAAGATTGCTGTCTCGGGCGTACGTGCGGTCGAAAGTGCTCTGGACTTGGACGAAGCAGAACGTCTGGGATGGGCGACGTATTGACGATAGTGGAGAGGTTTGGGTTGATTATTCAAGGTGGAGACAGAGAGAGAGAGAGAGGCCAAGTGAGTGGCGCATTGAAGGGTACAAGGCAGCAATGCCGTGGCGAAGCGGCGGACTAGCGGCATCGTCAAGGCAATATCTACTCCAGTGTTCCAAGTCTTTGATCTTGTTCTTATTACTAAGATTACGGCCTTCTTATCGACATACAACAGCATCACCCTAAGCAGTATGGCAACTTCTCCACAAGCCCCTCATTACGACGTCGCAGCGGATCTGCCCACCTATGAGGATATTGCCGATATGTTTGAAATTGTCGATTCCACTGAATGCTTCTTCACACTGCGTAAGTGCGACTCTATGTTTTGCGTCTACAGCGACTAACACGTCTCTCTAGTCAAAGAGAGCTTCTTCGCCGCCCCCGTCACCAGGGTTAACTGTGATGGTGTATTCTTTACTGCTATGTCGCTCTCTGCGGAGAAGCGGGCAGCGCTGCCGAGCCCACTGCGCACGTTCTTCTCCGGTGAGAATATCATGGATGGTGGCCATCATGTACGCAATCCTACACAAGCAGGACCCTACCATGAACCTGCACGTCACGTTTAGCAGGCTGCTTAATCCACGCAACCTACCTCTCAACGAGCTTGAACCCAGCGACATGGACATATGGACGCTGACAGCTGTCTTGGGTACGATCAATGTGTCGAGCTATATCCTCAGCGACGACCATAGAGGAGTCTGTAACGCCTGTCTGGAGTAGCGTGATGGCATCATAAACGAGTGTCGCATCGTGGGCGCCGACGGGATATGTGTGGATGATGAGGACATTTATGGCAATTGCTTGCACACGGGCACTAAGTGTACTTAGGAAAAGTAGGCGGCGTTTACAGCAGAGTTAGAGAACGAGACGGACGAGGATGCGAGGGCGGACGCGGCGCAGAGGCAGATGAAAATCGAACAAGGTCTGGCTCCGACACACCGGGTCATAAAGGGGTTAGGGTCGAGGAGGGGTGCCTGGTTCACGGGGCCATGGGTTCCTGTGGGACTGGTCAAAGCATTCACAGCAGACACACTTAGGGCACATGGAGTAATACAAGCACGACAATTCATCTATCTAGGTTCACAATGTAGTAAAGAGTCAAGACTACAGAAGAAGAGGGAGAGTAGCACTATGATGGAGGGTCGTAGATACTAAGTTCTGCGACTGCGGACGTGTTCCATGTGCAACTACATACATATACGCCATGCACTACCCAGTGGACGAGGTTGGTTTAGGCGTAGCCGTAGCCTCGTCTTCCAGGGCACCTGCACGTCGCCCTGGCCATTCTGCGCTGGTGGGGGTAGATCATGTACTAGATGGGTCGCCGCTATGTAGAGGAGAGAGTCGTGCAGGAGTACTGCAGCCGCTCCCGGGTCAATGCGGGCTCCAAGTCATCCGGGAGGAACTCTCGTGCTGCGAGTGCTTGTGTATCATTGTTGAATGAAGTCTTCGCAATAGCAATAACTTGACTAATTCGATCTCAAACACCTTTTTTGCTCGAATTCGTGGCAATAAAAACTCTAAAGGGATGAGATGAACTTTTGGTGAAACCAATGTGCCGACTGATCAGCACCATGTGCTAGCATCCTTGATAACCTTGACGCAGTCATGGGCTTCTTTTTCCGGTTTCAGCGGCTTTGTGACGAGGTTTCAGGCATTTGCGCCTCCGGATGACAGGTAAGCTTGTGATGGTCTCCACGCTTCCGTACGTGGACGTGCGTCGCGCAGCCACTCTGTGTCCTCTTGTGGACTGTTGTCTCGCAATCGCGGAGCTTGCATGGGCCATGCCCATAACATGTCTTGGGTCGGTAAGAAAACTCTTGTGGCGATGAAGACGCGATTTCGTCGAAGGCTCGAATGTCCCCTAGTATGTCCATCTCTTGCTCGGCTTCGCCCTCATTTGAGTAAACTCGGAACGATGCAGAGTGGACGTGTTTTAATATGCGTACCGCTCTATAGACCTTGTATAGGGTGGGGTTCATGGGCTCGTTGGTGGTCTAATGCAGGAATAGTATGCCGTGCAGCGCATTCCCATCTTCATCTGTGCAGGACCTGGACAGTAGGTTCCCTTGGAGTTGGGCTGCCAGCCAGTCCCATGCATGCGCGTCGACGGAAATTTGAGCCAGTGTTTTCGTGGCTAGTACTGTGACTAGACCCTGTGTATGAAGCAGTCTCCGTTATCGGACAGTATGACAGTGTTGTGCAATGTCATCGAACAGGCTTCTGCTAGCCAGCGATCGTGACCAAGGCTCTCGCGGTCCTCGGGAAAAGCTGGATGGCGAGAGTGGCCGTCTCGTCGAGTCGCTTTGTGTCAGGGAAAGAAACCCAAAATAGTTTTTGCCACGATACGTTTGGCGCATGGACGGCGCGCGTGGGCAATGCTGCTTGTGCTTGTGGAATTGCTGGAGCTTGACGTGTCACGTCGCGAAAGTCTTCTAGACGCCTTGTCGCTGCGTGCCTGTGTGTTTTCTCAGCGCGTTTTGGTCTTTGCTTGGTAGCTCGATGGTGACGATGAACTTCACAATACGTGTGTTGTCCGGGTGCATCTGAACATGAGAGGCTGTAACCACAGTATCCTGCTCTCTGGTACGCTCTTCTATTCTCCCAGATACTCTTTATTCGAGTTCTTTTTGCTGATGGTAGGCATGGGGCCGGTGGTAATCGGGCTTGAAGTGGATCTGAGGCGATGAGGCAGGGCAATGAGGCAGGGCGATGAGGTAAGTTTGGCAGGCCGCCCGGATGGCCGAGTATGCTAAGACGCTAGTTAACGTGCGCGTCGGCCCAACGAGCCGCTTCGGCCAACGAGCCACTTGAACACCAAACCGATATACAACCCCCCATTTTCAAATCCGAATATCTCCACCACTATGAGCCCAATCGATAATGCAACTAGTTTAATTGAATCGCGCGGGTCCGAAATTTTATGTTCATATCACAGTGTTGTAGAACAGTTCGGATTTAATTGAACACCGTGGTCGCGCCGGCACTGAGGCATATTGCGACCTAGAGACTAAGCTGCACGACAGAAGCAGTTATTCGACCCACAAAAAGAAGCAGAGAGTTTGGAGTACATAGAAAGATACATAAAGAGTTGCTTGCAATCTTCACGGGATATGATAAGACAATTTGCGTCGGTAGTTGCAAAACGGGATGTAGGAAACAGCTGGGTTACGCGTTTTTTGCATCACCAACACGACCATCTCACGCCTAAATAGACCTGCGGCATCGACCGCGCACGACATAATGCTAACTTGAAAGAAAGATACGAGCTATCCAAGATGGCAATCGTAGATGGATTACTATCCTCGCGTGTATCTGTGGCGACGGCAGCTTGCTGCCGCCAGGTATCATCTACGAGGGCAAAGCTGGCAGTTAATCGAGCTGGGTTAGTGAGCTGTAACCCGATCTACACAATGTTTTTGTGGCAGACTTAGCCTTAGAATGGACTAACAACGAGCTCGGGCTTGCCTGGCTTGAACAGATCTTTAAGTGCTTCACGATAGACAAAGCGCGCTGGCGCTGGCGTTTTCTTATCCTCAACGGCTACGGCAGCCATGTTACAAGCGACTTTATAAACTTCTGCGACGCGCACAAGATAATGCTTGCGGTATTCACTCCTTCTTCAACTCACAGCCTTCAACCGCTCGACGTGGTAATGTTTGCGCCTCTCGCAAATGCGTACAGCCAAACACTTCAAGAACATCTACTGCGTGTGCACGGCACAACTAGGATAGGCAAAGGCAAATTTTTATTAATACATTGGCCTGCCTGGAGCCAAACTTTCAGGCAGGAGCTTGTTTTGGGGGTTTTTCAAGCTACAGACAGTCGCGATGCGAACGAAGAATGCGACGTCGTAGTGTTGATGCTAGGATTGATGCCGCAGTATATAGTCCTTACTGCCTCAACGACGCAAATGGTATTGACGAGAATCGACCTAATGCGAAGTGTTGTAGCTTGTCGAACAGAGGCGGTATGGGGGTCAGCCAAAGACGAATTCGTTGAGATCTCCATGGCCCAGCATGGCACGTGCGTGACGCACTCCAGCCGTAGTCCATCCGCAGGTCCGTTGTGCCTCAAAAACTGCATCGCACTGTCGTTGCCAATCAATTGTCTAGCTAACATGCGTTCACCGGTCAACGCACTTTTGAGGAAGTGGCACGAAAAACTGAGCCTATCGCGACAATCACCGCCATCTTGGTATCGCGACCGACTTCGTGAAGAGTTGCTGGAACGACGCAACGCGAGTTGTCCTATGCTCAAACTGAGTGAGACGGCTGACGTCTTCTTCACCATCATCCGAGCGCAATACGACGGGTTTCCGATCCGATGTCTACCGCCTTACACGTTCCGACATATCCCTATCTACGCCTATATGATTACAAAGTACACCTTACGTTGGAAGCTGTATCGAACGACGGCCCGCCTTTGCGGTGACCCTCATTTTGCCCAGGTGTGCGAAGTTGTGAACCCGAGGAAGGACCACAAGCTTAACGAAGTCGCCCTCCGGCACAATATTGACGAAGCGCAGTTCAAGCAAGTCTGTCGACGACTGCAGCTGGTATGGCCCCTTCTACCATAGTCTAAGAACTGCCGGAGGAACGCAGAAACACAGCATATACTGCTCCGTGGTATCGTCATGCTATCAAGGGCGAGTCGCGCTAAGTTAGGTTACTTTGGCCTCGATTTCATCTAGTATCTAACGGGGTTGGCCTCTTTACATTGCTCCGTCGTCTACTTTGGCTCGAGCTTTTTCTAGCAATTACACTCTCTCGCCCTAACGCCTACTCCAACATGGTCGTATTGAACAAGCGATGCCCCGTATCCGTCCCGCCCTTCCCCTTGTATTTGTTCCCCGACACCCGCAACGCCACAACACTCAGATTCCGATCCTTTTCCAGGGCCTGCATCAGCGCGCTCCCGCTCTCCACGGCACCAGCCTGCACCACGCCCGCGACCACCACCACGCGCAGCGCCGGATGAAGCGCCCGCACGTCGGCCACAAACGCTAAAACCGACGCCCCAGAGTTTACCACCGAGTCCACAACCACCATGCAGCGCACCCCACGCATCTGACCCTCGACAATGTCGGCGAAGTGCCGCGCGTGCGCGAACGAAGCATGCGGTAATGCGCGACTCACGCCGAAAGCCATAGACTCGCCGCCGCGCATCAGCGGCACAATTAGCGTGCTGCCTTCGAACCGCACGCGGTGCCCGTCAGTCGGCGTGCCCTGCACATGCAAAATGGCGTACTGTTCTGGGCCGAGCAGCGGCGCCACGTGCGCGAGCGTGAGGTAGTAGCCCATGTCTGCGTGAGCGGCGCGCAGCGCATGGCCCGTGAGCGCTGCGTCGCGCGTGGGCGTGGCGAGGAGGTGCGCGGTGGTCGGGTGGGCGAGTGTGAGATTGCGACGCGGGGCGAGGTCGATGGCATCCAGGGAGACAGAGGGCAGGACGGTGGACGCAGCGGGTCCCAGGACCTGGGCGAATGTGTATCCGCGTGCGATCGCGGCGGTGAGCGCGGCGTCCATGGAGCAGCTGTCGCTGAAGACGACGTACGCTTCGTCTGCGCGCTGCAGCATGGGCATGTCGAGCGGGCTGTCACCAAAGGCAATTGCGCGGATTCGCTGCGCGTGCAGCAGGTCGACGATGTGGCCTTTCACTGCGCCCGTGACGACGTAGCCGTCGGACAGGCGTCCGCCGCCGATAATGGAGACGTGGGAGAGGTCGGCGCGCGCAAGTACTTTCTCCCACACGTGGCGCAGCCCGCAGGTAACGAGCACGACACCGACGTGTGGCTCTGTGGCCGCGCGCGCAAGCAGTGCCTTCATCTCGGGGTACATGTCGACGGTGGCGGCGACGCGGTCGCACAGCGCGTCGAAGCGTGGCGCCTCTTCTTCGTACAACAGCGCGGCCTGGCGGAACGAGTGGTACGAGTATGGCTGAGCTGTGAAGAGAGCTTTGAGCGGACAGGCCGGGAAGGTCGCAGCGAGTTCCCAGAACAGGGTGCCAGTGTCCTGCGGCGCGAGCGTCTTGTCTGCGTCGAAGAGCAGGACTTTTTCCAGGTCGTTCAGGTGCGGTAGGGCGAGGCCCAAGGCGCGCTCTACGTTGGCAAGATTCGCGGCTTCGGTGTGGCATTTTAAGTCCATGAGCAGAGTCGAGGCGTGGGCGAGGTAAGCCGCATTTGTATCTCCTGGCTTTTCTCGCAGCGTCGTGAATATAATTCCCTTCTCTCTACAAATGGCGCGTAAGTCCTCCTTCTCCTTGTCCTGCCAGGACCGCAGTCCGTCCTCATCGACGACAACGCGGTGCCGTGTCAAATCTGCGCTGATGCGCTGCGCAATCACGCCTGGGGCCGTGTCGAGATAGACGATGTGAGTGTACGTCTGCCAGTCCTTCTCGACCGCGACCACGACGCCGGGGTTCCAGAACATGTAGTGCCCCGCGACGACAGCCGTTTCACCTCGGTCCAGACATGTCTGGGTGATGAGGGCAAGCGCGGCTTCGATTCTACTTTGCTTTGCAGCCGCATCGAGGAGCTTAAAGGAGTCAAGGCCGCCGGGCGTGACGTGCGCGAGCACCTCGCTGCCGTCATAGAAGGCGAAGCCTTGGGCCTGGAGTGCTATTTCGGTCTTGAGGTGGTTGAGTAGATACGACTTGCCGGAGCCGGATATGCCGTAGAGTCCGATGATGGTTGGTTTGGCCATTTCGAACGAAGTGGGCTTAACGCAGTAGAATAGAAGCGTAATGGTAGTTTCAATTTCATACTAGCATGGCCTTTATATACGCATGTTCTGCGGAGTTTGCTGTAGCGCATCATGCGGATGGACGATGCGATTGCGAACTGTGTTTGTCGTTCTCAAAACAAACGCTACACGCCTAGGTTTTCAGCACGGAAACTTCAGGGTAACTTAGTCCAAGCCTGGCTTAACGTTGTCCGAAGCACTTCGAAATATAAGCCCGCAAAATCGCGGCGCTTAGCTGAAACGCCGCTGCTTGATTGACCTACGAGTATTTGCGATCTATGAGCACTTGCCTCCCTATTGGCTCAGCAAGGCGGAGTAATGCACTGAGCTTCCCGAGGACGATGTGATGACTCCTTCAAGTTTGAGTAACGGAGAGCAAGGCGAAGGTCTTTCTGTTGGGCCTTCTTCCCTGTTATATAATGTAACGGTGTGAGGAGAGGAGGAGGACTGCGTTGCATTGTGTAGCTATGGAGGAACTGCAGCTATATAGGTGTGTGTGATGAGAAAGTGTGGTAGCGATAGCCGTACCCAACTCTCACCCAAGTCGGTCTTGGCAAGTCCTAAACCGTTACATATAAACTGACGATCAAGCAGGCTCCATCAGCCAGCCAGACTTGTCAACAAACAAGTCAATCAAGTTTGACGCCTTTGCTTAACCTGCTTGGTGCTCTAGGCTGGCCGAGCTTAGGTTGTTTGATTTGATAGCAGGCTACATAGCGGTTTGTACTGCTGTGCACTTGCCACATATTGATCTGTTATCGAGCAATTTGATTGTTCCGTTGCTTGTTAACAACTCCGCATATGTTTGTCGAGTAGTTGAGTTGGCTTTGTAATTGTGTTTGCTGTGTCGCCGAGACAAAAGAGACTACACGAACAAAAACGCAAATCTTCTCTTTGTCTTCGACAGGCACGGCACAGAAGTCAGTTCTGCACAACAAGTATATGTAACCTCTTGACGGTCTCTTCTTTTCACCAGACCCCACTACATTCACTTCATTGCGAGTCCCAACATCATGTCTTCCCACACTCTAGACTAATATGGCTTAGCCGAGCCACTTATGCTCAAGAAGATCGATTCCCTCTTCGCTTGTGGGGTCGAAGAACTCGTTTCCCTACCACAAATCGTCGTCGTTGATGATTAGTCTTCAGGAAAGAGCAGTGTGCTCGAAGGATTAATTAAAAAGCTACTGCCACGCGACAGCGGCCTTTGCACTCGGTTGGCTACGCAGATCATCTTTCGTAGAGAAGCACGAGAGCAGGCAGTTGTCTCCATCATTCCTGACCAGCATGCTTCGATCGAGCACAGCAACCGTGTAAAGGGTTGGGGGAGAACGATATCGTCGTTGGACTCTGACACATTCAAGGAGATTATGCAAGAGGTAGGTTTCCTTGTCGAGTATTGCATTTCTTTTGGCTAACGAGGGATAAGGCGCATGAGGAGATGGGCCTAGCAACAACGATGGGATCCCTAAGCCTACTTTCTCCAATGACGTTCTACGTTTGGAAATCTCTGGCCCTGAACAGGAGCATCTCAGTGTCATCGACGTTCCAGGGATCTTCAAGAGCACCACCGAGGGCGTGACTACTAAGGCGGACATCCAGCTCGTGAGGAACATGGTGAAAGGCACAGATGTCAATGAGCAAGCTGAGCGAGCTCAGCCAATTGGCTTGCTCAGCCAATTGAGCGGAGGCCAGCAGCTCGCTCGGCTCGCTCGGATTGGCTGAAACAGGGCTGTCAGCTCGCTCGGCTTGATGGGCTCAGTCCCGATTAGGAAAGTTATATAGAAACCTTGGTGTTGAGTTTCTCAGCTAATATCCCACTTATGTACACCGTATTTCGCGTCCATCTCCTCATCGCTGATAACCCCCTTTACAGGCACCTCACCACTGCCAAATCCAGCTCTTATCCATCGTCGATCGCACTGTATTGCTGCTAGAAGTTGCGGAGAAATGCTGCGCCGACGGGGCTCGAGGAGGTCACCCAGCTCGCTGAATAAGCGCTCACACTCACAGCTTGAGCCTGGGATTGATAGCATGTCGATAGCAAATTTGCTAAGGCTAGGGTGGCGATCGCGGAGTTCTACCCAGTATTTTATAGGGTCGACGCCCTCGCCAGCGATCGGTTCGCTGCGTTTCCAAGCCTCATATTCATCTTCCTCGTTCTCCGTAAGCCCTGCAGGCTCAATAAAGTTGTTGATAAAGTTGCCGCGATTTCTGGAGCATTAACGCGTGTTCTTTTTGCTGGCATTATAGCAACGGCGAGGTAGATAGTAGCTGCAAATAGAGACGCGTTGATGGAGTATAGATGAGTGTGGTGGGTGATAAGTAGTAAGTGAAGTGTCGCAAAAGGAGAATATTGTTGCCAGGCGGTTAGCCGGAAATTTAGTAGCTTATTTGCTAGAAATATAGCAAAAAAGAGTGTATTTTATGTTATAACTAGGTTTCGAACTTACGCACTACACCTAAAAATCATCGTGAGATTGCCCCTCCACCAAGTCCTTCAGCCCCAAGTTTCCAACCGCCCCATCTAACCAAGCTAAGCAAGCTGACTGAGCGAGCGCCTATCCCTAAGCTCGCTCGGCTTGCAAGCGCGCATTGCGCGCTCAGCTCATTCGGCTTGGTCAAAACGTCCAAGCCGAGCGAGCTGAGCGAGCCGGCTCGCTCGTTGACAAGTATGCTCGCTAGCGATCGGTTCGCTGCGTTTCCAAGCCTCATATTCATCCTCCTCGTTCTCCGTAAGCCCTGCAGGCTCAATAAAGCTGTTGATAGCGTCGTCTATATCATTGTGCCTGACTTTGGGGCGTAAGCGCGGCTTCGGTAAGCTTTTGTACTCCGCCCACAAATGTTGAAACTTGCGGTTGCTGCTCTCTAGCCAATCAGGCTTATCCGCCCACGCTGCGTCAAGGTAGCTTTTGTAGCGAGGATGAAGGATTGTAGCAGCATAGTAAGCTGGCGAGAGGTCGAGCTTGTTGTAGTACTCGCGGGCTTTAACTAGGGCAGCGCGGAGGTTGATAGCAAGGTGGTCTTCGGGTGACTCTGTATGCTCATCGTGAATGACGTCTTCATAGCTTTGCAAGCGGTCCTCATAGACTCCAAGTAAGTATTCAAATACTGGAATAACCTCAGCGATTGCTCCAAAAGCACCGCTTTTGCCGCGGCCTTCAAGCCGTTTTGTAGCTTGTTTCAGTGGCCTGAGCACATCAATATACTCAGCAATCACCTGCCAGTCATGGGCATTGATCCCATCAGACCTCATCCAATCCGGCGCTGCAGGCAGCTTGTTGTTACGACTTCGGGCGTACGCGTCTTCAGTTTCAATCTTCTGAATATGGTAGTTGGCGTACCCATTAACCGCTAATTGCAACTCAACAGCGCGCTCAAAACACGAAACGTAAGAGTTCCAGCGAGTAACAACTGGCTTGACGGGCTCCTTGATTTTGTGCTGTTCTGTTGGCGCGTTGACAGGCTGGTCCCTAATAGCGAGCTTCTGATACTTCTCAAAAAGAGCGTACTGTTGTGGTGTTTTGATGTAGTTGATAACCGCGAGAAGCACTCCCAATGGTCCATCGCCTCGCCAAGTAGCCATGTTCTCAGCTTCGTTCACGCGCTCAGTCTCCTCGTTGTCGTAGGACTCTTTCTCCTCACCCCAGAGTAGCATCTGGCCAATGAGATTAAGCGTATGAGGACCGCAGCGAAGGCGACGCTCGGTAGCGCTGAAGCCCATCTGCAAGGCGAGAGTGTTGATCGTGGTGTTGTTGTTATGTGCGTTGTCGAGGACGAAGTAACCGAGCTTGCCCACAGTGATTTCGAACTGCTTGAATATTGCCATCACGACCTCAGCCATGGCCTCGCCGGTGTGGGCACCTGTCAGTTGTGGGAGCGCAATAGGCAAGTCCCTGAGCTCGCCAGAGCTATCAACGTAGTGGGCGACGATACCTAAGTAACCGCGCTTGCCACCTTTTGTCGTCCATCCGTCAAAGCTTATATGGACTTTGCTCATTGATTCTGAAAGGCTTGCGACAACCTTTGGTAACAGGTAGTTGTACAGGCGTATAACGTATCGTGAGACGCTGTTATGAGATGCCCACAGGGCTCGTTCTGCCTCTACGCTAGCTAATTGTATCATATTGCGAAAAGACGATGATTCGAATTGTGAGAGTGGGAGGTTGTTTTCGACGAGCCAGGTGACGGCCGCAAGCCTAAACTCTTGTATATTGAAGTTGGTAGACTCCGCAACAATCAATTCAATCCGGTCACTCTCCTAGACCCACTTACCTATCTAGGTAGGGCTTAAACTCCTATAGGTAACTACTAGGCTTAAAGCGGTAATCAATCAATCCAATCTGAACCTTCTAGGACCCACTTAATTGATTGTTGCGGACTGTGGAAGTTGGTAAGCTCGTTGGCAACAGCCTGAGAGCAGCCCTTCTGAAGGGCGCGTTCGAGGAGAGTTTCTTTCCGAGGAGCGACGGTAGTGCGCTTACTTGGAGGCTTCAAGCCATGACCTTTCTTGTCTTCTCCGAGATGACGTGCTGGCGCTGATGGAGACTGCGAGACGTCATGTATGCCACGGCCAACAGTAGTGAACTTGTGCTTATAGCAATAGTGGCAGATCCACGTGACTTTTGCGACGTTGCTGCGCAAGGCGATGCGATAGCCATGGCTGTATACCCAGCTTGCTCGGTTCGAAAGTGATGTGGGCGGCTTGCAGTGCTTTGGGTAGCGACTCCAATTAAAGCCGTCGTATTTGTCCTCTACCCATACGAAACCCTCGTCGACAGCCTCGCTAGCTGCTCCTGAAGCTGCAACAGTGGCATGCTCGCTGCCCTCAGGTGGTGGGATGATTGTCTCTTCGGCGCGCGACTCTCGGAGGGTCGCTTCAAAATTTGGTGCTTGTGGCGCGGCGACGAGAGCTTGACGCGGCGACAGCGGTGGAGGAGGTGGAGATGGTGAGAATGGCCGAGTATCGACTAGCACAGGTTGGCTGGCAGTCCCGCGATGACGCGCTGCGACTCTAGGGCGCTTCGAAGTTGTCGCGATTTCTAGAGCATTAACGCGTGTTCTTTTTGCTGGCATTATAGCAACGGCGAGGTAGATAATAGCTGCAAATAGAGACGCGTTGATGGAGTATAGGTGAGTGTGGTGGGTGATAAGTAGTAAGTGAAGTGTCGCAGAAGGAGAATATTGTTGCCAGGCCGTTAGCCGGAAATTTAGTAACGTACCTCACGGGCGAGTGGGCCACACGGGCGAGTGGGCCACTCCGCTAAGACCCCACCAAAACATACTGTTACCTACAGTACTTTCACAATGAGCCAACAACAAAACAATCTACCAGCTTTAAAAGAGGCTCGATTACAGCTTGCTCTCAAGGCTATCGAACGCGACGCGACGCTGTCGCAGAGACGCGCTGCAGCTATCTACAACGTATCTCGAGTAACTCTTGGGCGCCGACGCGCTGGAATACCTCTTCGGAGCGATTGTACGCCTAACTCAATGAACCTCCTTAAGACAGAGGAGGATGTAATTGTCCAGCATATCCTTGACCTCGACGCGCGAGGATTTCCGCCCCGACTTGCTGCTGTGCAGGATATGGCTAATTCTTTGTTGGCTGAGCGCCACCGCGACCCTGTTGGTCAGAACTGGGCTGCAACCTTCGTCAAACGTCGCCCTGAGCTTAAGGTCAAATTCAATCGCAAGTATGACTACAAGCGAGCCCTCTGTGAGGATCCTGAGGTTATACAAGGCTGGTTCCGACTTGTGGAGAACACAAAGGCCAAGTACGGTATCCTTGATGAGGACACCCACAACTTTGACGAGTCTGGCTTCATGATGGGCATGATATCAACTGGAGCAGTAGTCACAGGCTCTGAGCGTCGAGGACGACCAAAGAGCGTTCAGCAGGGCAATCGCGAGTGGGCTACAGTGATCCAGGGTATCAACGCGACTGGGTGGGCAATCCCACCTTTTATCATCTTCAAAGGCAAGAACCACCTCTCTGCCTGGTACAAGGAAGATAACCTACCTCGCGACTGGGTTATTGCAGTCTCTGAGAACGGCTGGACAACAAACAAGCTTGGTCTAGAGTGGTTAAAGCACTTTGACGCTCACACAAAGAAGAGGACTGTAGGAAACTATCGTCTGCTTATTATCGACGGCCACGAGAGCCACGACTCGCTCGATTTCCAGCAGTACTGCAAGGATCACAACATTATTACTCTCTGCATGCCTCCTCACTCGTCGCACCTACTACAGCCTCTTGATGTGGGGTGTTTCTCGCCTTTGAAGACAGCGTATGGCCGCCAAGCCGAGGATCTAATGCGCAACAAGATCACCCATATCACTAAACTAGAGTTCCTACCGTGCTTTAAAGGCGCTTTTGACGCTGCGATTACAAAGGCCAATATACAAGGAAGCTTTCGAGGCGCTGGCTTAGTCCCATTTAATCCAGAGGCTGTGATATCGACGCTTGACGTGCGGCTGCGCACTCCACTGCTACCTACCGTCGAGGACGGTCCCTGGCAGTCGCAAACTCCAAGCAATACCCTAGAACTTGGGTCGCAATCAAAGCTGATTCAAGAGAGGATTCGAAGACATGTAGATAGCTCACCTACGTATATGGTTGAGGCGATCAAAAGCCTGTCAAAAGGTGCAGAGATGATAGCGCATTCTCTGGTGTTAATGACCAAGCGCAACGCTGAGCTCCAAGCCGCCAACGAGGCCTCAAGTAAGCGTAGATCATATAAAAGGAAGCGCTTACAGCAGCAAGGGACCTTAACAATTGATGAGGGCGTGCGACTGACGACTCTTAAGGAGTTTGGGGCATGTAGTGATAGGAAGAAGGCGAAGAAGAGAGTGCGCGTTGAGGCAGGCGAGCCTAGCCAACGACGCTGTGGACGCTGCGGCGAGGCAGGACATAATATGCGCACATGTAGGCAAGAAGCAGCGATAGATTCTGAGTAGAATAGCCTATTACGATTTCTATTTACTATCTTTGACGGTGCTATATAGTCGTGTACAGTCGTGGTTTTAATGGGGTCTTAGCGCAGGTGGCCCACTCGCCCGTGTGGCCCACTCGCCCGTTAGGTACGTTAGCTTATTTGCTAGAAATATAGCAAAAAAGAGTGTATTTTAGGTTATAACTAGGTTTCGAACTTACGCACTACACCTAAAAATCATCGTGAGATTGCCCCTCCACCAAGTCCTTCAGCCCCAAGTTTCCAACCGCCCCATCCAACCAAGCTAAGCAAGCTGACTGAGCGAGCGCCTATCCCTAAGCTCGCTCGGCTTGCAAGCGCGCACTGCGCGCTCAGCTCATTCGGCTTGGTCAAAACGTCCAAGCCGAGCGAGCTGAGCGAGCCGGCTCGCTCGTTGACAAGTATGGTTGTCTCTCTCTGGGATTGACTTAACAATAGTATATAGTTGTCTATGCTGGTTTGGCTTTTTGTAGCTAGCTTTGTCTGTATTTGTGATCCTTGTAATTGCTTTCTGGATTGGGTGGTTGCTAGATAGCTGGTGTGCTCTAGACGCATACTTTCGGTTGTTGGTGTTGAGTCTAATTGCAGGTGACGTAAGTCCGGATTCAATGATTGTTGGTAGAGATGTTGACGTTCTGAACACTCCAATTATCTTTCTACACGCTAGGTTGTGCAGTGATTGTAGGAGGCTAGTGGCGTGGCTTTGGTTCTTCCAGTATATTTGTGATCCGTAGTCTGCAACGCTTGTGACGCAGGCTAGGTATAGTTGTCGTACTGCTTTTGGGGAGAGTCCTCTTTCGATGTTGGCTAGTCTCCCTAGCCTATGAAATGCTTTTGTTGCTTGGCTTACGCGTGTAGCAATATGTTCCTTGAAGGACAGTCTATTGTCTATGTGGATGCCTAGCCATTTGATTGTGTCTTTCGGTTCTACAATGGTGTTGTCTGGGAGCTGTAGGCTTCTCTCTTTTCTCTCTTTCTTAGCGGTAAAGTGAATGAGCTCTGTCTTAGCTATATCGAACATAATCGCTAAGTTTTTCCCTCGGTGAGATAGTAGGCGGACTTGCTGTTCTAGTATTTTGACGTTTTTCTTTAGAGATGTTGAGGATGTCGATAGAGATAGGTCGTCAATATAGGATAGGTTGAAGCTTTGTAGTCCTGGTCTTAGCGCATTCTTTGCCAGCCAGCGCCGTGACATGCAGGCAGCATTCCAAGAACCAGTCATTATTAGATCGATTGACCAGCTATATCGCCTATTTTGCAGCGGACATCTAGCGCTAAGCTATGTATAGAAGGTAGGGCTCTTCAAAACCGCCGCGCACCTACGTGTAGGGGTGAAGCCGCAATCGCTAATGACTGTGAGATTACTGTTTCTTAACTACTTGGAAACCATCAGAGTGCTTAGCAGGCCTAAAAACTGCATAGAGAAGTGCAACAGTCTGCAATATACCGCCCAACCAAGAGTACCAAATGTTTAACAATTGGTTCCAGACCATCCTAGACTTCCCTACCCTAGCATCTAGGTCTGAAAGGAATGTTGAGATCATCAGAGTAAAGATCGTGTTACCGTTATAAGCGTCCAACCAAACATATACCCACCTATCTGCATCTACCAGTCCGAATGGCGTCATGATAAAGATAACAGATTCTAAAGTTGCTAAAAGCCAAAGAACTAACAAGCCATAAGTTAGCAAAGCTTAAGTAGAGTAGGAAGGAACACTAGAAGACTAGAAACTTACAAGCATTCGCTTTCCCAAAAAACCCTATCTTGACCATACCACAAAACCACCTTCTCCTCTGCTTTAAGAGGTCCATATATGACCAGTTACTCTGCTCTCGTGCGACGCTTGGTATGAAACCTCCCCCCATTCCATAGTCCCACCACGCCCGATTAGCAAACCAGAAATCTTCTGCGAGACAATCTGTGTCCCAACTAACTGCATTCTCTACTCTCCCGCTAGTAAGTAGGAAAGAGCCATGGCATCCCCACAAAGGCACATGGATATGTCCGTGCTGGAACGCAAATCGACCTAAATCGTCACGAAACCGAATAATCTCTGAAAACGTAAGCGCCGAGTTGTTCCAGTAGTTTATAGTGTTGTATAAGATAATTCCTTGTCCCCATTCATATGCTGGTTCTCGTTCAATAAAACCAATGCATGCTAGTACACAATGCCTGTCCACAGCTGTTTCTTCGTCAAGGTGCAAGACCCAGTCCGTATCCGTTAATTGTTGATTGATGCGGAAGTATTCCAATGCGCGAGCCTTGTACTTGGCTGTAGGAGGGGAGAAAGACTTAGGTACAACAACAATTTTGACACCAAGTTCGAGAGATGCGACCGAGGAGCCTTCGTCGGTAAGGACTATGAAGGTAATGCGCGAGCTGAGGCTTTGGATATGGCGCATAGTAGCAGCTGAGCGTTTGACAGTCTCTCTGTTCGTGCCTTTGGTAACCAGAGTAATGTATAGATTATCCCAATGTCGAACCTTGGGCTTGCTGACAGTGGCAAGATTGAGTGGGACTAATGTTGAGAGTAGCGCGATGAATCCAGGTGTAACGACTACCAAACAGAAACACGTGTGTAAGATTTGTCTCCAAGTTCCAGAAGCAATCGGCACGATCCAAATACCATATCTATTTCCAATGGCTTGCTTTAATGGCTGTACTGTTTGTAAAGTTAGGAAGTAGATCCTAAATTATGAGATGCTCACTTACTGATGAAGCAATAAAACATGAAACTTGCTAGGTGAATTACGCTATTGTGCGCAAGAATTTGCATAAGCTGTCGTGTAGCTTTATCGCCAGGCTGAGAAGCTACGATTTGTGATCGGTAGCGAATCCAGCGATAGCCGTACACCATGATAACAATGCCGAAAATGGCCTTGCCTACCCAGAGTGACCTATCATAAATTGGTGAGGTCAGGGCATCAACATTGCTCTTGAAGAAAGACATTGACTACAAGAATGTAGGAATAGTCGCGTTATATAAAACAAGCTAATAGAGTTAACCTATGTAAAATAGATGAGTCGTTTACAACGTCCCAAGGGATAGAAGGTATTAATTAATAATTACCAACACGTAGTGCTTTGTACGATCGCTGTTCACGTGCTCGGGGAATTGACCTAATTTGGCATAGTGGCATCCCCTTTGCTAAGGGGAGACAAAAAATTTGACTAGCATCTTCGTATACATACGACATGGACCAGAAGGGCTTCCTTATCCGATCCGTCACGGTCCTTATTCGATCCGTCACGGTCCTTCTTCGATCCGTCACGGTCCTTATCTAATCCATCACGGTCTTTATTCGATCTGTCGCGGCCTTAACACCAAGGGCAGTGCTGGCAGGGATATGAGAAATACGAGGGATCCGGATATCCCGTATTGCCGATATATCGGCAATATGTATCCCCGTGTCAGAATATGGGCATATTTTGGGTGGTGGACAAAATCCGGGTGTTCGGAGCTGTGGATTCTGTGGATCAGTTAAATTAGTCAGCACGCACAATCCACCGCGACCCAACTGATCGAACAGCGTTGGACAACAGAACAACTCGACATCAGACCAGAGATATACAATCGATCCCCATCATATTATTATACTATTATCCCCGTCTTTGATAACCCATCACAATCTGACACTAGAATAGTACTAATAGCACTAGTTGTCAGATAACAGGGTTCTGATGGGAATCATAATAATTGTGGTTGAACGTGTGTATTGTGGTGTGTGGTGCAGTCTCGTGAGGGATGAGACGGAAGGTCGCCCTGTCCTAGTCCCTCTTGGGACTAGGGGGTCTACGTAACGTGATGATCTCCAACTCCGTTGCCTTCCACCCAAAATCTACCTCATATCTGACAAATATTAGTCAAACAGTCAAACAAACTAAACAAATTTCGATTGTACGTTTAACCTGTTTTATCAGTGAGCGCCCCACCTCAGTGAGCGCCCCACGAACACCAGCGAGGCGTACGCGCAGCGACGTAGCTCAGCACCACAACACAAATTTTGTACTCTTGCAACAGTATAGTATTATTCAGAAGCGTCGCTATTATTCATATCCTCAATTTCTACCTTGCAGGTGCGAGAGTTGTGCCCAATCTCACCGCAACGGCCGCAGCGTCGCCCTGCGCGCACCCTCTTCGCCGGCTCCTCACCCTCCTCACGTCTGCCACCCTCCCTTTCAGCAATTAAGTCTAATACCTCGCTGACTGTCAATGTCTCCTATGCCCGTACGTAGCGTCTCTTGCGACTTTTACGCTTTGTTGCTGCTTTAGTAGCAGTATTAAGGCGCACTATCTCTGCGCGCATCAACACCATCTCATGAGCCATCTGCTGCGCGCCTTTTGTCAGCTGCCGCACCTGCTCATCAAGTGAACTTGCTAGAGACCCTCGATGGATTTTCATCCTGTTTTGAACTAGCGTTGATTGCGCCTCCATTTCTTTGGCGTTGCGTGGTGTTTTCGCCTCCTAAGCGGCGTCGACTTGCTGTGGTAGAGTTTGCGTACGCAGCTGCACATCCAGCTTCGATAACACAGCCTGTGGATCATGTAGAGACAATCCAGCGCCTCGAAACCCTGCGCAAGCATTCTCTCTTGTAAACGCCTTCTTAAAAGCTACTTTAAAGGCTGGTAAGAAGGTCTGTTTGCTGATGTGGTTGATGCGATCGCGTGCTAAGGCTAAGATCTAATCACCGTACGCGCGCTTTAATAGCGAGAAACAGGCGACGTCAAGCGGCTACAGGAGGTGCGACGAGTGTGGAGGCATACAGAGGGCAATAATCTTCTTCTCTTTGCAGCGATCCTAGAAATCTATCAAGCAATAGCTCTCGTGGCCGTCGATAATCAGCAGCCTATACGCTCCTACAGGCCTCGCATGCGTATTAAAGTGATTAAGCCAGGCAAGCGCTAGATTGTTGTTCGTCCAGCCTATTAGGCTTACTTAAATAACCTAGTTGCGTGGGAGGTCCTCAGTAAACTAGTTAGAGATAAGAACCTTGCCGGCAAAGATAAGGAAGGGTAGGATAACACGCCCTGTTGCGCTAACGCCCTGTATTAACGTAGTCCACTCGCGATCACCAGGCTAAAGCTTCTTCGCTTTCCCAGGTTTCTCTATGCCTGTCACAACAAGTTGTGAAGATATCTTGCCTATTAGGAAGCTAGACTCGTCAAAGTTGTACATGTCGTCGTCCACAATACCGTACTTCGCCTTCATGTTCTAAACCAGCGTGAACCAGGGCTCGATAATCGCTGGGTCTTCGCAGAGAGCTCGCTGGTGATCGTATAGACGAGTCCAGCGCGTGCGCAGCTCAGGTGTACGCTTAATAAACCTGTCAACCCAGCATTTACCAACAGGCTCACCGCCGCGGTCGCGCAGCAGTCTATCAGCCATATCTTGTGCGTGTAGCTTTGAGGGCGGTACTCCACGTAGGTTCTCGTCAAGTATACGCTGCAGAATCACTTCCTCTTCTAGCTTCGTCAGGCGCTTTGATCTGGGCTCGCAGTCGCGTCTAGAGGGCTTCCCGTCGCGTCGTCGTTGTATCGTCCTACGAGGAACGCTGTAGACTGCCTCAGCACGTCGCAGGCTCGTAATCTAGTCGCATTTAATGTCAGAGAGGGCAAGCTGCACGTCAGCTTTAGTATAGGGCTTGTGAGGTTGTGGTTGTTGAGACATTACGTGTTGAGTGTCGCGCATGCGCTTCGCTGGTGTTCGTGGGGCGCTCACTGAGGTGGGGCGCTCACTGATAAAACAGGTTATGTTTAAATTATCAGATGTTTCTACCAGGCTGTTGTTGAGATCTGAAGGTGCGGTTTTCGTGTTTTTTGGTGGGTTTTTGGGGCTGGCCGATGACTGATACAATACGTTACTCCTAGGTAGGCGTAGATGCTGACAATTATACATCGAAGCAATAAACACCCGTTGCGCATGCTCGAAGTCGTCTTCTTCTTGAAAACGCTAAAATGTATGGAAACTCTATCGAAGCGCAAGAGCCACGCTACAACAGGCATTCAGGCAAACCCAATCATCCTCTTCCCACTCAGAAACCCACGCACGTTCCTCTGCACAGCATCGAACCTCACCGCACCACAGCTTTCGCTCTCAAGATGATTGAACAGCGCCGCAAGCGCCCGGAACTCCCTAGCACATGCCCTGCCCGGGCAGTGATACACCTTCTCCTTATGTACCGGCGAATTGACGTGAGCGTTCAGACTCTTGAGTTCCCTGAAGCCCTTGTGGCACAAGTAGCATTCGTAGAGGAGCGTGTCGCAATTGTAGGATGCAGAAGTAGCCGTGATGCTTGAACCGGATTCGGGGTACGTCAGGAGCTTCTTTGTGATGAGTTGGTTCGGGTCGCGGCGGCGGACTTCGGCCAGGATGGTGTCGCGGTTGAGCTGGCGAGCTTTTGAGCACGAGCCGGTTTCGAGATGGTGCGTTACGCCTGTGGCTGTTGCGAAGCCGCGTTTGCAGAAGGGACATGTGATGTTAGAGCCGCGGTGGATACGGCTGTTGAGATGCTACGTGGGATCAGAAACGGCATGTGGCTGAGGGGTCCAAACTCACAATTTGCAGGTTGTTCTCGTTCTCGAAACCCTTGTTGCAATCGTTACAGTAGTGGTTGCGCCAGTGGCCGTGGCTGTTCATGTGCTGCTTGATGCGGGCAAATGTGTCATACCACTCATCGCAGGCTTCGCACTCGTACCTGGGACCGTAGTGTCCTTCGTCCTGCTGATGATCTTCAAGGTCTCTCGAGTCGTAGAAGGCAAGATCGCAAAAGTCGCACTCGAATACGTGGCCGACTGCGTTCATGTGCTGTCGGGCCGCGGCCCAGCTGCTGAATCGTCTGTCGCATTGCCCGCATTCGGGATACATCTTGAGGCGAGATAGTATGAATTGGCTGTGGCGCCTCTAGACGGATTGAGAATGAGGACAATGTAGAATCGGGCCAGTTGAGTGACGAATTGTCACGGTGTTAGTATGTACAACTATGTGACTATCCCCCGAGAAGGACCTATACCTATTTTGGACTAGCATTATTTACAGTCCCCACTAGATAACTCACCGTAGCTTCACCTACGAAGTACATATCACAGTTCCATGTCTCCACTGCCGTATCACGTAGTACACCTGACCGTTGCTCTACACATCACCGCTTTCCTACTACATACATTGTTCATAGCAACATACAATAGAACCGCAGTTCGATCCTTCAATTCCTTCTACATATGCGCAGTTTTCATGTCAGACTATCCACTATATATACCTTCATGCTACAACTGCAGGAAGGTCGGCCTTTTTGTAGTTCGACATTTCACACCGCGACAACACTATAATAGGATTTGATGTGACCACATGAGAAGTACGTCGTGGTTAAATCATGATGCATAAGCACAGGGTTCTGCTTACGTTCTGACGGCTGGAAGCAGGGTGTCCTGTTGCATGCAAACGGCTTCAGAATGTGTGCCTCCCAGCAAACAGAATGCTGCGATCACCCAATGTCGGGATCGGGTGGCAAAGCACGGTTATCGGTTACTGGTACGAAGGAGCTCGTTTTTAGTGAGGAATATTCGGCCCGTGCGCCAACTTCACATTCTTGGCTTAGGTAGAGCTTGGCGGCGGAGTAGCTCCTGCAGGCTACGGTAGTGGGTAAAGCGCGACTTGTCGTTGCAAATGTGAGTATCCGCGCAGTTGTCGAGACGAAAGTAGCTATCGTTTTCGCGTTTTCGTGTGGTACTTAACGCATGTCTAGAAATGGCAAAGGAAGCCCTAGGCCTAGTCTGCCGCGTACCTGTCAATGTGGCAGAACTGGCTTGGCTTGTCGCCTTCTCAGACTGATCATCTGCGTTGTTGCTATTCCAGAAATCAGGCAGTGCGATCTTGCTGCGAGAATATCTTTTCTCTATCTTCTCGCGCTGGCGATTGCTTCCTGAGATCGCCGTGATTACTTCCGATTGTACGTGAACTTGTGGTCTCCATTTGGCCGGAGCCTTTGCAGGGTTAAGGTACCAACAATCAGCGTACTTGTGTGCTTGTCCGCAAACACAGTCTCGAAGACAGCTCGGCTGGGTCGCAGAGACCGAGCTCGATCCAATCACCTCTCGCTTCCGCCGTGGCTGTCCATCCTCCTCATCTGACGTCTTCGGATCACGACCGTGCTTTCTGCCCTGAAGCGTAGCGTGAGCTGCGCGACCTCTTGCTGCTTTATGTAATGGTGTGGAGAGAGGGGGAGGACTGCGCTGAATTGACTATCTGAGGTGGGGTGAGCTACATATATAGATGACCGTACATGAGCTATCCCAACTCGTATTAGAGTGGATCTGGGCAAGGCCCAAACCGTTACACACTTTATCGCTCGGAGGTGCCATGCTCCGAAATTGCTTGATGCAGAAGCTTATCGTAATCCTATTATTAGAGAGTGTTGGCTTCAGCCTACGGAAGGATCTGAGGGTCCTGTCAATCGTGTGCTGTGCTCTTTGTACCGCGGGAGCATCGACTTCGTCGACCGCATCGTCAGAGTTAGCATCAGTTGAACCGCTCATTATGGTAGAACCACTGCTTGCTTGTTCTGGGCTGATTGTGTTCAGCGCTGTGATAAGTGCATCCGAGACTCTCTTCATAACCATTGCCGTCTGGCTGATGACAGACGCTTGGCTTTCGGATTGCGCGTCTTTTGACTTCATGTAGTTGTAAAATGGTGGGTTATGTGAACGGTCTGTAGGTACTGTATTCCAGCTACCTAATCCAGATGCTATTTACAGTCGAGATGAAGAGAAGAAGAGGAAGTGGGCGGCCATCCCGCTTTGTTTGGGTTGGCGCGCGGCGCACGGTGCACGGGCTGCTGGGGGAAGGAGTGATAGAAGGAAGGAAGCGACTAGGCCAGCGGCCTAGTCATGTGACCTAGGGCTCAGCCCGTTACATTACCCCCCTCCTTTCTTCTTGGCGCGTAGTTTGATCCATTTCTTCCAAGCGTCAGTTTTGAGTACGTTACTCACAGGTTCCCATGTCGGTTCTGTGTAGTCCACCCATTTCACGTATGCCTCTTTCGATCCTTTCCTTCCTTGCTTTATTGTTCTTTCATCCAAAACTCGTTCAACTAACCAGACCTCTTCTCCATCTACCAGTATAGGGCCTGGCTGGGTATCTCCAACCTTCTGAGATGGAAGTGGGTCGTTTGGCGCATATCGAAGTAGGTCTACGTGGAAGACAGGGTGGATCTTTCCAGGAACGTTGAGCTGGTAGGAGTGGGAATTGACTTGACGCATAACTTGGTACTTTCCGTGTAGCCAGTCTAATTTCTTAGATGGTCGTGTTGTCTTTACATTTCTGAGGTTTAAAAACACCCAGTCTCCCTCTTTATACCGAGGAGCCGCGGTTCTCGCCTTATTAGCCTGGTATTGCTGTTTCTCTTGCGTCATAGCTATTGCAGCTTGCGCCCACTCTGTTGCATCTTGTAGTCTTTGAAGAAAGCTCTCTGCCAGTACTTCGCCGTCCTTCTTTGGCCGGTTCTGAATAGTTCGTTCCTCTACCAGCTGGATCGGCTCGTTGTGATATCCGTGCATAAAAAAGAAGGGGCTTAGTCTAGTAGATAGACTCCGCAACAATCAATTCAATCCGGTCACTCTCCTAGACCCACTTACCTATCTAGGTAGGGCTTAAACTCCTATAGGTAACTACTAGGCTTAAAGCGGTAATCAATCAATCCAATCTGAACCTTCTAGGACCCACTTAATTGATTGTTGCGGACTGTGCTAGTAGAGGAGGCTTCACGGTTGTTAATTGCCCCTATAACAATAGGTAGAAGCGCGAGCCAGTTCTCTTGCGTGTATGTGGCCCAGATGCGAATCATCTTCTCAATCTCCTGGTTCATTCGCTCTGTAGCGCCATCGGTTTGTGGGTGATAGGCTGTTGATAGACGTTGCTCAATATCTAGGAGCTTGCAGAAATGCCTCCAAAGATCGCAAACGAATTGCGGACCTCTATCGCTCGTAATTGCTGTTGGGATACCATGAATTGGATAATGGCGCTCAAAAAGTCGTTGTGCTACTGCTTCTGCCGAGATGTCGTGCAAGCCTTCCAGTTCTACTCCCTTCGTCAGCCGATCAGTAACTACCATGCAGTTAGTGGCGTTGTCACGTCCAGACGGTGGTAGGTCAGTAATGAAGTCGATCGATATCTCTCCCCAGATGCGTTCTGGGATAGGTAGCGGTTTTAGGAGGCCTCTCTTTGTATCTCTCCATATCGTGTTTCTTCCGCAAATTTCGCAATTGCGAACGAACCGTCGCACGTCGCTCGCTGCACCTGACCAGAAGAACTGTCTCGATAGAATTGTATAGGTAAGGTCTCGCCCAGGGTGGCCAGTGATGTGTGAATCATGTATGTTCTGAATAATCTGCGTGCGTAGGGGTTCGCAATCAGGGATCCATATCCTGTCTCGGAATCGCAACAAGCCTCTTTCATCTAGAGTGCATTCCGCTATGCTCACTGCCTTCTCTTTCTGTAGGATAGTCGGGAGGTTCCGCTCCTTGTTAGCTACCAGCGTAGTAAGCTCCTGATAGAGTGTGTCCTCCTGCCTGCCTTTATGCCACAGGTTTTGCATGTTCTGGTCTTCGAATAGGCGTATATTTTTTGTGAAATCAATCTCAGTTGTTGCGGACAGGGGCTGTATTTGGATACTTCTCAGGTGCTTGCTCTGGAAGAGTCGGATAAATCGGGACCGTAGTCGTTCATCATCGTAGCCGGTTGGAAGGTCTTGTTCTCGTCGTGACAACGCGTCAGGTTTCCCCATAGTCTTCCCCGGCTTCCATTCCAGCGCGAAGTTAAATCGTGAAATAAGTTCTGACCAACGGACCTGTCTTTCAGATAGCTGACGTTCACGGTAGAAGTATTGAAGGTTCTTATGATCTGTTAGAACTGTGAACTTCTTAACCATGTGTAGCTCAGGGGCCCAGGCTTCTAAGCAACGAACAATAGCAAGAAGCTCTTTGTCGTGTATTGGGTAGTTAGCCTCTGTCGCTGAGTGCTTCTTCGAGTAGTAAGCAACGGGCTGCCAGTTATTATCCTTGTCTTTCTGCAGCAGTAGGCCGCCAGTTGCATATCCTGAAGAGTCGGCCTCTACCAAAGTTTCTCTCTCTGGGTCGAAGTGGCCTAGTATTGGTGCAGTGACAAGAAGTTCTCTAATGCTTTCGAACGCTTGATCGCAGGCTGCATCCCAATGAAAGACAGCCTCCTTCTTCGTTAGGTTAATTAAGGGTTGGGCGAGGTCTGAGAATTCCGGGATAAAGACTCGATAGAAGTTGGCAAATCCAATAAAGGCTCGAACGGCCTTAACTGTCGTTGGTGTAGCCCACTCGCGAATTGCGACTACCTTTTCAGGATCAACCTGGATGCCAACTTCTGCTTCGACAATGTACCCAAGGTATTTGACGCGTTTAGTCTCAAACTCGCACTTGTCGATATCGATCTGGAGTCCGGCATCCATCAAGCGCTGAAGAACCTTCCCAACCTTCTGCCTATGATCTTGGAGCGTTCCTGAGGAATAGATTAAGATGTCGTCGACGTAGGCTGAAACCAGACTCCGCAACAATCAAATCAATCAATCTTAAGGTTGTCGATTGGTTTGATTAGCTTGCGGCGACGCTGCTGATTGATTGCGGATTGATTGTTAGGGTTTTTGAGCAGATTGATTGCGATTGATTGGTTGATTGGCTGATTGATGCTAAGAAGTAGTATACAGGGGGTTATGGTGTTGTACTCCAGCCTTCTATATCGTACTGTTGTACAATCTCCTCATCTTTGACGTCACTCCACTTATCTTCATCATCACCGTTGTTGTACAAGCCGTCAAAGCCAGCTCGTCTCCACGAACGTACAAGCTGAAGGGCAGCAAGTAACTCGCTGCCAAGAGCTCGCCGGCGCGGCTCAAGTAAATCGCCAAGCTCGCTAAAGAGCCTCTCGCAGTCGCAACTAGATGCTGGTATCGTGAGTATATCAATCGTAAACTGGCTCAAACACGGGTATTTTGAGCGTAATTGAATCCAGTACTTGACTGGGTGGCCATCGCTAAGATACTGTTCGCTTGTCCACTCTGGCTCTTGAGTTCTCCAGCGCTCGTACTCATCGTCGTGGGCAGCCTCTACCTGAGCCTTGTTGCGCCGTACGAGGGCGCCAATCACATCATCTATTCCTCTATGCCTTGGTTTTGCAGTTGTTTGAGATAGAGGACGTGTACGTTGAGGCTTATACGACTGCCAGAGCTGCAGGAAGCCAGCGTTGGCTGATGTTAGCCATTCTGGCTTATCCACCCAGCTGTTCTCGCAGTAGTATTTGTAGTATGGATGGAGGCAGGTAGCAGCGTAGTATGCTGGCGATCGATCGAGCTTGTTGTAGTAATCGTTGGCCTTACTCCAGGCGGTGCGGAGGTTAACAAAGAGGTGATCTTCAGGCGCATCAGGTGGGTTGAAGTCAACTTGCTCGTACGAGCGCGTACGGGCTTCGAGCGCGCCAAGTACGTATTCAAATACAGGAATAGTCTCATATATAGCGCCGTATTTGCCTGCCTTTCCGCGACCCTCAAGCTTCTCCGTAGCAAGCTTAAGCGGCTCTAGGCAGTCCTGATACTCTGTTATCACCGCCCAATCAGCAGCTGTAAGTCCTGTTGATCTCATCCAACTAGGTGCTTCAGGGAGTTTATTGCCACGTTGACAAGCGCGGCGATCTTCAAGGGAGAGTGCGTTAATGTAGTGCTCAGCGTAAGAGTTGTATGCTGCCTGGAGTTGAGTTGCGCGTTTGAAGGCAGCGTAGTAAGAGTTCCAGCGTGTAACAACAGGCTTCACAGGCTCAAGTACGTGGAGGCGCTCTCTAGCTGGCAACTCGGCGTTGGCGGCGGTTTGGAAGCTTCGGAAAATTTCGTGTTGTTGAGGCGTTTTTATATGGTTGATAACGTCGATAAGTACACCTAAGGGCCCTTCTTGACGCCACTCCTGCATGTACACCTCCTCTGTTTGGAGCTGCTCGTCGTTGTTGTTGTTGTACGCCTCTTGATTGCTGCCAAAGATAATTGCCTGGCCAATAAGGTTAAGCGTGTGAGGGCCGCAGCGGAGGCGTCGGTGAGCAGCGTTGAAGTCGTACGCGTGGGCGAGCGAGGAGACTGCAGTATCGTTGTTTGCAGCATTGTCGAGGACGAAGTAGCCGAGTTTATCACTCCCAATACTGTATTCTTGGAGCGTCTTTTTAATTGTATCAGCGATAGCATCACCAGTATGAGAGCCTGCGAGATGTGGGAGGGCGATGGGGAGATCTTGTATCACTCCAGAGGCGTTAGCAAAGTGTGCAACGACTCCAAAGAATCCACGCTTGCCACCCTTTGTCGTCCAACCATCAAAGCTTATGTGGATCTTGCTTGCAGCTTCTGACAGAGCGCAGACAATCTGTGGCTGCATATATTGGAAGAGGCGCATTGCGTAGGTAGCTACACTGCGAGGACTTACCCACAAAGCTGCCTCTGCCTCTGGGTTTGCAAGGCTAATCATCTCGCGAAAGGACGGCCTTGCAAGTAGCTCCATTGGCAAGTTGTTATCAAGAAGGCAGAACACTGCAACTTCACGAAACTGCTGGATGTTGAAGTTGCCCATCGCGTTGGCAGCCTCTTGAGAGACTGCAACACCAGTCTCCAGCGTCTGTCGTAGAGAGAGTTGCTGCCCTGTTCTTCGAGGCTTCAGGCCGTCTTTTGTAAAGCCATGGCCTCGTTTCTGAAGGCCAAGATGAGCTGCAGCTGAGGAGGTGGCCTTTGATACGTCAAAAACTCCACTGCCGCCAGTGTCAATGACCTTGTGGATGTGGCAGTATTTGCATACAAACCACACTCGATTCTGATCGTAGAGCTCAACAACGCGATATCCATGTTGAAAGATCCAACTCTTGACGCGCCGCCCAGTTGTAAGAGGCTTCATGAACCGAGGGAGGCGATCCCAGTTAATGCCGTCAAAGTTATCGCCATTATCAGGCTCTGTATCAACACTAGCCTCTGTTGTTGCTGCTGTACCAGCCTGGCTGCCACAGTCCGCAACAATCAATTAAGTGGGTCCTAGAAGGTTCAGATTGGATTGATTGATTACCGCTTTAAGCCTAGTAGTTACCTATAGGAGTTTAAGCCCTACCTAGATAGGTAAGTGGGTCTAGGAGAGTGACCGGATTGAATTGATTGTTGCGGAGTCTACTGGCTGCCCTCAGCCGCACCCTCCTCCTCTGTTTGCGACTCGAAAAATTGCGACTCAAACGTTGTGGCCTGGCTTACGGCGGCGCCAAGGGTTTCCTGAGGCGACAGCGATCGCTGAGATAGGACAGAGGGCCTTGATAGGCGCGCCCGTTTGGCGGCGGCGGCGGCGGCAGCAGTATTGGTGGGAACTCGAGAGCGTTTGGCCATCGTGGGCGATACTAAACACTAAAGAAAAATGTCTGTATAGGTAGCTAGGCAACTAGTGTTGTGTGTAAGGGATTATTAGGGAACTGAGTGAGCGAAATCGTTGTTGTATTAAGAACAGCGAAGGACTAGCTATATAGGTGCGGGGTGAAGCCTAGAAGAGGCTAGCCCCTAAGCAGAAGGAGCTAGTCCTATAAGAGGAGAGCTAGCTGGTGAGAAGTGAATGCATAGAGACTGGCTTGCCCGGCCGACAGGGATCACAAGCTAAGCGAGATAGGGGTCCAAGATAACTATCTTCAACACCAAAAACCTTCTCTTAATACGACACTACTCGCCTTACAACTCGTTAATAATAAATCAATCTAACTAATCAAATCAATCAATCTGACCTTCGCAAGTTGATTTGATTAGCTATTTTGAAAAGCTTAGATTGAGTTGATTGAGTTGGTAAAAACTCCAAATGACCAATCAAATCAATCAATCTGACCAATCTGGATTGATTGTTGCGGAGTCTGGCTGAAACAAAGTCGTCAAGGTAGTCCTGCAGAACACCATTGATGTATCGTTGAAATGCAGCCGGTGCTCCTGTCAGGCCAAAGGGGGCCACCCGCCATTCGAATAGACCGTATCTAGTTCGGAAAGCTGTCTTCCATTCTTCTCCTTTGGCCACGCGGATCTTGTGAAAGGCTGCGATAACGTCGAGTTTTGTAAACCATTTAGCTTTTGCTACATTTCTTAGTGTCTCTGTAAACAAAGGTAGTGGATAACGGTCCTTCCTAGTAATGTTGTTTAGGCCTCGATAGTCAACACAGAATCGGATGCCTCCTCCTGGTTTTTTAATCATCAACACTGGCGCAGCTGCAGGGGAGCCGCTTGCACGGATAAAATCCTTGTCTAGCAGCTCAGTGAGGGTTTTCCTAAGCACTAGTAGCTCTTCTCGGCCCATGCCGTAGAGTGGTCCCCATGGAATAGTCTTCTCGTTTCCATCCTGGTCCTTCTCAATCTCAATGTGGAGATCGACGCCTTTACGGTGCGGAGGCAGCTTCTCAGCTAGGAGTTGATCAAAGGCCTTCAACCATTGGTGGTACTGGGGTGGGAGCTTCGTCTTAGGGTCTGATCGCTGGCGCGGCTTTAAGGCCTTCTCGATGTCTGCAATAGAAACCGCAAACACACCAGTGTCGAGGGCTATACTGTTTTCTTTGTTCTTCCGCCGGCTTCTCCTCACCTCTGCCATAAATGCAGAAGCTATTACCAGAGTAGCCTTGAGCTGTGGTGGCTTGTATGCCGTCTTCTTGTGGTTCCATACGCGGATATTTGATGCACCAATATCTAGGCAGCCTTGTTTGGCGGAAATCGTGACGTCGGCATCCTCTAGCCAAGGCTTTCCCAAAATTACGTCGTACGTCAGGCTAGGTACGACGTAGAAGAAGACACGTTTCTGTTGGTGGCCGTCTATGTCTATCGAGGCGTAAGTGACTGTATCTAGGACAGTACTTGGCTCTGCGTTCTTCCCGGCTGCTTCCTCTAGCTGGCGCGGGGCTATCTTGATTGATGGCAGTCTCAGAGATCGAAAGAGTTGTTCATTAATGGCGGAATAGCAAAGGCATCCTGAGTCCACAAGTCCAGTGACAAAGTCGGTTCCATTGAGTCTAACGTCCACTACAAAGGGATCGCTATCCATCTTTTGCTTTCCAGTCTCTTTCCATTCTCTCTGAGCTGCCACGTGGTCCTATTGCTCTGCTTGAGGGTCTTCTGAATCCTCCTCTACAGCTGCTTTGGTGACTACGGTACTCTTTGCGGTCTTGACGCCAACATAAGTTGGTCGAAGTGCGGCTGCCAGCGGGCAAGTAGCTATTCGGCAGTTGTTGCGGCCGCATCGGAGGCAACGTCGACCCTGGCGTCGAGCATCGATTTCTTCTTGGTTCACCCACTTTGCCCGTTTCCCAAGAAGCTCTTGGTCCTCAGGGCGCTTAGAAGGGAACCCATTTATGTTGGCCTTGCCACGGAGACCGACAGCGTTCACTTGAGTGGTTGCGGGCTGCGTAGGTTCCCATTCCATCATGTCCTGGTGATTGCTGTAGCCAGCAACATTGGCGTCAACTGTTGTCATTGGAGCTGGGGGGAGGGTGTATCCAGCTGTGTAGCCGCTGCCTGCAACTTTCTTCTTTGTCCACTGACCATAGAGTTCCATGTCGTTACTTACGTCTACGCATCTTTGAACAAACCCAGCGTACGTGTCGGTGTCGCTTCCAGAAAGGCCTACGAGGCGGTCTCTCATTTTGTTGCTGAGTGCGTTGCGGAGGTAGGATATCTTCGCGTCATCGTCCCATCCTTCTGCGTTGGCGTTGGCAATCTCTTTCTCAAAGCGAGGGTAGAAAGATATGAAGGTCTCGTCTTCTCGTTGGCGTATAGAGTGCAGGTTCTGGATTGCTTTCTGCTTGCGGTTGCGTTCTCCATAGAGGAGTTCAAGGCGCTCAAGGAGTTGACAAGGGTTTGGCAAGTCTTGTCTAAGCTGCGTCTCGTAGAACGTTGTAACGTTCGTCTTTGCTGCTCCTTCGAGGTGCATGAAGATGTAGCGTATGTATGTATGTATGTATTGTTTAACGTCCTATGAAAGCCTCCCAGGGGGCATGAAAGACGGGTAGCGCCCTGTATGGTACTCAGGTGCTCCTATTCTTTGGGTGTTGGCAGTGTGTGCAGTCTGGTAGGGTAATTTCCGCCAGTTGAAAAGACTCTATCTAGGTTCTGGGCCGTG